TGACTTCCAAGGTGGGCAGGTTAAGCACAGGGTTAAGACTCAGAATGCCTGTGCTCAAATCCCAACTCTGCCTCCTCTAGCTGTGTGACCTCAGGCAAATTACTTAACCTATCTGTGCCCTGTTTCCTCATCTGTAAAGTGGGAATAATAGTATTCATCTCAAAGCATGATTTGAGGATTTAATGGGATCATACACGTAAAGTACAAAACCCATTTCTGGTCCGAAGGAAGCTCAATATACATTGGTTAGGATTAACTCCTGAGGGTGGGGGAATCAGAAAAAGCCCCTTAGAGGTCACACAGTCCCTAGATTAAGCTCCTGTGTTTTCACATTTGGGCCTGAACCACACTAGCCACACCCTCAAGCCAAAACACACGCCTGGGTCCCCTGGCTTGGAGCACAGAACAGCTCCAAGAATCTCAAACCCCACAGGGGGTTTTCTCTAGCGAGGGGTAGATTGTGCCGCATGGCTGCCAGCAAGGAATGCCCTTCCTCTGAAGGCAGCGTTCTGTGGCAGACATGGCACTTGAGGCACAGCCCACAGGTGCTGAGCCCTAGGAACACAGACGAGAGCACAGCCAGTGAGAAAGCAGCAGCAGCCCAGGCTCCAGGCAGCTCCCCCAGGCCTGGCTGGTCGTGCAGTGGCCGCTGTGGTGAGCGTGGAGCCGGGCAGGCCTGGCGCAGGTCGAGCAGTGGTTAGCGCAGCCGGACGGAGCCATTTCCAGAGCTCCGGCACTAAGCTGGAGCCGCCTTCCCCTCCATTCGAAGCAGCAGGAGCATGGCTTTATTAAATATGCATGGCGATCACCTTGTTACTCTGCGGAATGATTGTGTGTACTGAAGGCAAGCTGCCCGCACCGCGCAGTGAACAGAAACTTTTCAATTTCCCTGGCTGCAGATGGGGGCGCGCGCTCCTCTGGCCCCTGCTGCAGAGGCTCCCTGGCTGCCCCTTCCTCCACCTCGCCTCCCTCCAGCCAGCAGCCCTCCTGATGCCCCCCCCAGGTGTGCAAAGCAGGTGAAAGGCCATATCGATCCCCTTCTTTAAAGCAGCTGGTCCAGAACTAATCTTAAATCATCGCAGCCTCGTGCTGTAGCCTGGTGGTCAGTGGGGCCCCAGGGATGGCCACGCCAGAGCTGAGCTGTGTGAGCTGGGAGTGGACTTCACTACGGCTGACAAGGGGCAAAAACAGGTGAGAGCCAGGCAGGGCCTGACCCGGGCCCCTGTCCTTCCCTCTGCCATCTGTCCCATGCTCCCAGCAGCTGTTGGCAGGAGGAAGGCTGCCTTCCAGTGAAGCAAGAGGATGGCAGCCCTGCAGTGTGGGCTCAATGCCCCACGCCCACTGACAACACCCACTCCGGCAGCAGCTTGATTTTCCAAATAAATGACATATCAGCAATGCGGATTTAAGAAAGGCAAATAATTACAATGACAGCAAATGATGTCCATCCGGCCCTCGCCATGTGCGAGACCCTGTGAAGCAGCCCTTTCCCTTGAACGCTCTGTTTGTCCTCCTGCTAACTCCCCGCTGATACTGTCATCATTCCATTCTACAGATGAAGTAACTGAGGCCCAGGAAGGCTCAGTGACTCATCCAAGGTTGTATAGCTTGGCAGGGGCACAGCTAGGGTCCCATCTGAAGCAGCCTGCTCTCAGACTGCATACCTCCAAGAGGGCAGGGTACCAGCCACCCCGAGTTGGAACATGGGCAGGGATTGCTGCCTGCAATGATGCCTCCCAGTCCTCCATCCTTCTGAAGTCTTGAGTGCTCCTGAGCTGCCAGGAGAGCCAGGGAGGAGCCCCACAGGCCCAGCTCACAGGGGCAGCTCTGTGCCACTCACACCTCCCCTTCCAGCAGTTGGCAGCCACTTTTCTGCTCCTGCAGGCCTCTGCCTGTGGTTTCTGGCTTCCCCCACCTCCAGACTCCTTCCTTAGAAGATTCTTCCTCGGAAACCCCTCTCAGTTCACCAGCCTCCTGTTTCCTGAGGTGCCTCCTACCTCGTGTGTCCCAATTCTCCTACTGGCAGCACAGAGGATGTCCTCTGGCCAACAGGGAGCTCTGAGGGCCTGCTGCCTCCCCTCCCATTCTCTCTCTGCCCTTGGGGCCCACTCCCCCCATATTGAGAACTGGGGCTGGGTCTCCCCCATCAGACTAGAGGCCCTCCAAGGGCAGGCTGTGTCTCCCCCACCAGACGGAAGGACCCCCTGCAAAGGCAGGCTGTGTCTTCCACATCAGACTGAAGGTCGCCCCAAGGGCTAGATCTCCCCCAGCAGATTGGAGGCCCCCAGAGCCAGCTGGGCCTCCCTTCCTCCTCACACCACTGCCCTGAATGGGTGCCCAACACACTAGGCCTATAGGCCGAGCACCTATCCACCAGTGTTCTCCTGGGCTAGGTCAGACCCTGTGCCAGGGGGCCCAAAGGGCAGTCAGATCTGCTGTGAGGACCGTGCTGGGACACTTGTTGGGGGCTGCTGCAGGAGGCAAGCCAAGGGGTCAGACATGTCCTTCTTCCTGGCTTGAGACCCAGGTGGGTCAGGGGATGAGAAAGACCCTGGGAAATACAGTGCTCCTCGCTCACCTTCCTCTCAGAAGGCCGAGGAAGTACAAGGCCCTTGGAGGAAAGTGATGGGGTGGGATGGGCTGGGGGAAGGGCAGGGAAGCTCTCCAGCGCAAACTAGGGTCTGGGAAGGGATGGGGTGGGGTGGGCTGCGGGGAGGGCAGGGAAGCCCTAGTGTTAACCAGGGGCTAGGAAGTGATGGGGTGGGGTGGGGTGGGGGAGGGGAGAGAAGCCCTCATGTGAACCGAACCAGGGGCTGGGAAGGGATTGGGTGGGGTGGGCTGGGGGGAGGGCAGGGAAGCCCCAGCATGAATCAGGGGCTGGAAAGGGAGTCTGTGGCTGCAGTTGCCCCAGATGTTCTTGGGAGAAAGGGGACGGAGGGGAGAGCTAAGGCAGGAGTTTCCCCTCCTGTTGGTGTCTCACTGGCCCTTGGCCCAGCCCAGTAGCACTAGTGAGGTCAGAGGTCCTCAGGGCCAGTCCGGGACATGAGTGGAGCAGTTGCAGCTCATACAACCCAATGAAGGGGGGCCCAGCCCAGGAGTCACCATCAGCCCCCAGGCCCTTGCTCCTCAAAGGAGCAAAAGCTCACCTGCTGTCCTGCACATGGCGCTGCCTCTCCCTCCCGTCTAACCCTGCACATGGCGCTGCCTCTCCCTCCCGTCTAATGAGCTGGGCTGGGTAACTCCACCTCCCCTTCCCAGCACCCAGGAAGAGCCACTGATCAGTTCTCTCCCAGGCTGGCACTGGCCAGGTATCATGGCTTCCAAGCATCATCTCCCTTCATGAGCGATGGTTAATTTTGTGTGTCCACTTGACTGGGCCATGGGGAGCCCAGACATTTGGTTAAACATGGCTCTTGGTGTGTCTGTGAGGGTGTTTCCGGGTGAGATTAGCATCGGAATGGCAGGCTTAGTCACGCACTGGCCCTCCCAGTGTGGGCAGGCCTCATCCAACCGCTGAAGACTGAATGGAAAAGGCTGAGAGGGAAGAATTGCTCCCTGCCTAACTACCTTCCAGCTGAGACACCGGTTCTTTCCTGCCTTTAGAATCACACTGAAGCATCAGCTCTTTTGGGGTCCCAGGTCCTCCAGCTTTTGAACTGGAACGCACACCACCGCACCGGCTCCAAGGTGCCCGGGCCTCCACACTCACACTGAACGACACCAGCAGCTCGCCTGGGTCTCCAGCTGGCTGTTCACAGACGCGGGGGCTTCGCAGCCTCCCACTGCCCCATGAGCCGACTCTTTATAATGAGTCTTTTCATGCCTACATATGTATACAGGTACATGCACATATACACATTCACATCTGTCCCACTGGTTCTGTACCTCTGGAGAATGCTGACTGACACAGTAAGGAAAAGGACCCCAGGAACGGGACACTTATTCCCATCATAGACTAGAAGCCTTGTGCTCCCCTGGGGGCCAGCACAGAGGCGCCCAGGTACAGGTGGCAGAACTGGAAGACGATCAGGCTGGCCTGAATTCAAGGACAGCAGCTCTGTGCTGCTACAACACCAGAAAAGCAAGCCAGGGAAAGGGGCAGGCCGCATCCCCGAGACTCAGCCGCCAGTCTCAGAGCTCATCCATAAGGCCGGTGCCTCAGTTTCCCCATTTGTCAAATGACAGTTGTGTCATCTAAAGCCCAGCCCCAATCATCTGTGTTCTTAAGGTCCCAGGACTCCACTCCGTGTTTCCCCCTAGGTGCTGAGTAGCTGATTTACCGCTGCAAGAGAGAGAACTAGGTAGGCAAAGGAAGACTGCCCCTCATGAGGAAGCACCCTGGGAGGGCTGCACTCTGCGCCTGGTGGCGACTCTTTCCGATCAATAATCCAAACAAATCAAACATCACCAAAATACTCTGGGGAATCAGGCTGAGTCTCACGCCCAGGATGGACTGCAGGAGTGGGCAGTGCTGTCAGTCAGTGACAGGCATGGGTGGAGGCTGAGCCAGGGATGAGCCCCCCCAGACCAGTCCCTCATGCTGGGGGCCAAGGCAAGGACGGTGCTGGAACCAGGAAGGTGAGACCCAGGCAGCCTCCCCTTCCATGTGGTTTGAAGAGCCCAGCCTCCAGGATGGCTGCATCTACCCTGGCCACACCCTCAGCACAGCCCGGGCTCCGTGGGTACAAGTCCTGGGTACCAGTCCACGGACAGGGAACCCAGTCCCACTTCCACAGACAGCAACAGACGCAACTCAGGATCCAGGCCACAGCGCAGTAAGGCTGGGTGCTTTCTGCTCTTGGTAGCCTTGGCAACGTGTGGCAGAGGAAGATGTGGGGTCCAATAGGGACCTCGGGCCCCTTCTGCTTCCCGACAAACTCCGTCCAATCGATCCCTGAGACACCACTGAGCACTGAAAGCGGTACCGGGGTGGAGGCAAGAAAGGGTCAGCAAAAGGGAGGCAGGCCGCCAGGGCCACAAGCCAAAGGATGGGGTGGTACCTGAGGCTGCAGGGTGGTAGCTTCCAGGACAGTGACCCGGGGCCCACAGCTGGCCCACACAGCATCCTCCAGGCTCAGCAGGGTACGGATAGGCCCGGGCCCCACAGTCAGGCACACGGGAGGGCTTTCCAGGTCCCACAGGACACCTCCTGCAGGGAGAGAGGGGAGGCGGGTCAGGGGCCAAGAGCAGCAAGCAGGTCTCCGGGGGAACACAGGCCAGCAGCAGTGGGCTCAGCAGAGCCCCACACCCCCTCTCCCCACTCTTCAGGGCCTTCCTCTCTCCATCCGGCTGGATGGTGGCGATCCCCGTCTGCCTCCAACCCGCACCATTCATGTCCCACATCCCCACTCCTAGTCAGGTTCATCCTTCCTTCCATCTCTCCCTCCCTTCCTTCCTCCCTCCCTCCATTCCCTTTCCCCACTTCCTTTCCCTGTCTCTCTCTCTTTCCCTCTCTCCCATTCATTCATTTCACACACACTTAGTAAGCACCTACTCCACACCAGCCCACGCACTCGGTGCTGGGAAGACAGAAACGATCAGACACAGGCTCCGCCCTCCAGGAAGCCCCACTGGTCAGAGCAACCAACAAGTTAATCACCAGTTATCACATGACACGCCAAGCACAAATGAGCAGGCATACACAAGGGCCTTGAGAACTGCTGAGATGGAAGGAACTAACTCTGCACTGGGGGAGATCCAGGGAGGCTTCTCAGAAGAGGCAGCATGATATGGTGGAAAGTGTCCTGGACCCGGAGTCGAGAAACTTGGGGTCTGGCCCTGGTTCTGCTACTACCAGTTTGCTAAGGCACATCTCTACCCTTTACGAGGCTTCAGTTTCCCCATCTGTAGAATGGGTGGGGAGTTGACAAGATTGTCTCTGAGGACTTTCCTGAGGCTGTAGCTGATCTAGACTGAATCTTGATTTCTCACGGCTCTTCTGGCCAACTCCAAGACACTTCTGTCAAATTTACCAAAATCTCTTCCTCCTGCAGAAACACCATGGCCGCCAAGTGCAGTGGAGGATTGTTTTTGTTTTTGTTTTTTGAGATGAAGTCTCACTCTGTTTCCTAGGCTGGAGTGCAGTGGCATGATCTTGGCTCACTGCAACCCCTGCCACCCTGGGTTTTAGCGATTCTCTTGCCTCAGCCTCCCAAGTAGCTGGGATTATAGGTACCTGCCACGATGCCTGGTTAATTTTTGGTATTTTTAGTAGAGATGGGGTTTCACCATGTTGCCCAGGCTGATCTTGAACTCCTGACCTCAAGTGATCTACCTGCCTTGGCCTCCCAAAGTTCTGCGATTACAGGCATGAGCCCCTATTCCTGATCCAGAGGATGTTCTGAGAGGTAGTGAATGCCAGCCTAGTCTGCCATCCCTGAAAACCAGACAGACCTAGGAGCCTGGCCCAAGCAAGGTCCTCTCCACCCTTGGGATGCTCAGCTCACCCAAGAACCATTTTCCCTGGCATCCAAGCGGTGCACACCGAGATTGTTTTTCCTCAGAAGTCACACCTGATGCCACACTGAACCTTGGTGGCTTCCCTGTCTTGTCACAATGCTAGGTGGGAAAGGGAGGTTGAGGAGGAAGCTGGGGCCCAGCCTGGGGCAGCCTAGGCCATGGCACGCTCTGGAGAGACAGGCAGCAGTGGCGGGGGACTGGGAGGCAGTACCCAGCTAGCTGTGGGCTTACCAGTGCCCTGCTCTCCCACCAGCCCTCCACTGGGTCCCTGGTAAGAGCACAGAGCAGCCCATCACAGGCAGACTCTTCCCTTCTGAGCCAGCTGCTCGGTGGCATGACGGGGCACAGCTGTCTTCAAAGCTGAAAGGCCCCAGTGTGCGTGATGGAAGCCACTGCTGGGGTGTGGTCAGAAGAGCCAGACTAGACTCCCATTCCTCCCCTCCCCAGGCTTCCCTACTGTACCCTGTCCCATCCCATGCTCAGCCTGGTCCCAGTTTTCCCTCCCACCCCTCCTCTTTCCCAGCAATAAAACAGGTTCCCCTCCTGCCCTTGTGCCCTACTTAAAATGGGCAGGCTCCAAGCTCAGCTAAGAAGCAGGGAAACCGGGACTCTCCTCAACCTCCAGGCACATAGAGTGCTCTGCCCAGCCAGCCAGAATGGGCACAAGGGAAGGAGGCCCGTCCTCAGCCCCAGAGCTTCTGTGTGAACTTGAACAGGGGTCTTTGCCTCTCTGGACCTCAGTTTCCCTCATCTTACACTGGGCATGATAACCATGCCTGCGCTTCTCCGAATGTTGCAGGAAGTCAGTGAAATATGCAAGAATATTTATCTGGGCACACAGTCAGGGGCCTCAACAGCGGCTGTTGCACAGCGTTCTGTATCCGCACGCCAGGCCCTCCTTCCATGAATTACTTCCTTAACTCCCACCAAGCCTGTGTGGTAGACACTATTATTATCCCTGCTCATAACGGAGATGGCTGAGACACAGCCCATTTAAATAACTATCCCAATTCCCTCAGCTACAAAGGCGTCTGTGCCCGTGGCTCTTACTGTTTGATGTCATTTGCCACAACACCACCATGCGTGGAAGCAAGTGCTGACTCCACTTAACCAACGTGACAGTGGCAACCGTGGAGCTAAGACCTTGCACAGACACCCAAGGGGTGATAGGCCAGACAGGCTTTGAACTCGGCTCTGTCTGACTCTGGGCCTGGCCTGCTTCTCCAACCCCACTGCCCCCTCAGGTTTCTGAAGGGCTCTGCAGCTGGGCCTGGTGTCTAGGAGGGGCAAGTGACCCGAAGGCGGCCAGGCCTCCGCCAGGGATGCTGGCCCCCAGTGGGATGCTGGAGACAAGAAAATGCAAGGCTTTGAGCACCCCCCAGTGGCCAGAGGTGAGTAGTGTTTTGTGGCTGGAACCTGGAGCCTAATAAGGCTGCTATGACTGAGATGGGGGCTGGAACCTCTCCCTGGGAAAAAGCAACTAAGGATGCTGAGTAAACACCCCCAGAACCAGAAAATGGGGGCTGAGATGGGGGCTGGGACTCCTCCCAGGGAAAAAGCAGCTAGGGATGCTGAGAAAACACCCCCCAAAACTAGAAAATGGAGGCTGAGATGGGGGCTGGGACTCCTCCCAGGGAAAAAGCAGCTAGGGATGCTGAGAAAACACTCCCAAAACTAGAAAATAGGGCTCTATCTGGCACTGATAGCCACAGGACCCCTTGCATTCACTCCCCTGGAACAGAGCCTTGCTGTGGCAGCCTAGGGTAGGAGCTAGGGTCTGAAACCCTGAGGACTTCATGAATGCCATTCCTCCGTTTGCTGGGAGCCTCCAGAAATCCTCTAAAAAGTCTTGACTCCAGGGCACAATGACAAACTGTGATCAAGTTTAATAATGCTAATATTGTTGGATCAAAAAGCTTATAAAGGCTGGGCACAGTGGCTCACGTTTGTAATCCCAGCACTTTGGGAGGCCGAGGCAGGTGAATCACCTGAGGTCAGGAGTTTGAGACCAGCCTGGCCAACATGGTGAAACCCCATCTCTATTAAAAATACAAAAATTAGCTGAGCATGGTGGCACACGCCTTTAATCCCAGCTACTCAGGAGTCTAAGGCAGGAGAATCACTTGAACCCCAGAGGAAGAGGTTGCAGTGAGCCAAGATCGCACCACTGCACTCCAGCCTGGGTGACACCAGACAGGAGTCCCTGATTAGAGGGCCCATGGTGAGATCCTGAAAAAGAGACTTCCCCTTGCCGGGACTCAGTTTCCCCATCTGTACCATGAGGACAAAACTTTGTCCTCTGAGGTTCTTTCCAGCTATCACACATTGTGATTCTGAGATCACAAATGCAATTGCAGTGAGTTCTGGTGAGAGCCGCCCCTGCCTGATGGAAGCCCCACTCTTTCTACCCCCTCTTACCCTCCAGTGGCTGTGGGTAAGCACACACATGTTCTGGAACACACACACACACACACGCTTGCCCCTGCATGAGAGCCCATTCATCTGGGTGGGAAACCAGCTCTCCCAGCCAGCGGAAGAGAGATGAGGGCCCTGTCTCAGCAAAGGCACCTTCAGGAGGCTGGCATCCCTCCTCCCTCAGCCCGCAGCGGAGAAGGCCCCAAGGTCTCCCTCAGGGGTCAAGATTGGGCTGGAGCCAGCCAGCAGATCCCAGAGTGAAAGACATCACAGCTAAGAGGGGCCCAAAGGGCAGCCCCTGCCTGGTGACAGTAAATAACGACCGTGACGCTGATGACTGTGGTAAAGGGGACACGTGGGAAGCACCAATCCTCCAGGGTCTGTCGTAGCACTCATGGGAATTGCTGTGTCTACCCTTCACAATCATTCTATAAAGTGGGGCTGTCCGTGCCCCCATTTCACAGCTGAGAAAACCAAGGATCAGAGGGGCAAAATAAAGGCCCAACCTCTCACAGTGGGGACTCAATCCCAGCAGTCTGATGCCCAACCCACCCCTTCCCCATTATGCCATCTGCCTCCTCACAGGGTACCCTGAACCACAGCCCCAGTGCCCAACGAGGGATACTCCCGCATCCCCACCCAAGGCCTGGCAATGCCCCTGTGTCTTCTCAGAGGCAGGGGAGAGCCCAGGCAGCACGCAGGCAGGGACAGTGTGCTCTGGGGCTGAGAAACCACCTGGCTCAGCTCCAGGCCCCAGCACCCTACTATGAACCTGACACCTCAGGAGCACTTGCTTGTTGAGCAAATGAATGAGTGAATGAATGAATGAGAACAAGCAGATGCTCCTGAGGGCAGCAGAGTGACTGCCATGGCCACACTGCTCTTGGCCTCAATGTCACCATCTCTCAGCTGCAGGTGGGACTCTGAGGCCGCTCCAGCTCTGCCAGTCTGTGCCTCCGCGTGGCCTGGTCTCCCTGGAGTCCCCACAGTCAACTCTCAGCTGCCGGTTCCATAGGATCTCAGGGACTAAGCTAAGTCCCCAGGTGGGTTTCTGCCTATTTTGCTTAATATATGTCTGGTCCTATCCTTCTGCAATAAGCCAAAGCATGGCCAGGAATGCCAGTTTTAGCAGGAATGCCAGTCTTGGTCTCAGCCTAACCTGGCAGGACAGTGAAGCTGTCACTTCAAACACCAGCAAATATCTCATGGAGTGCCTGCTTCTGGATGAAGATGAGGTATCTAGATTTTCACAATCCCTAGATGCTCCATACCACCAGGAGCACCCACAGTGGGTTCTGAGGCTGATACAGAGCCCGGGAGGTCGATGCAGGTGCAGCTTCAAGCCTGGGCTCTGCTGCTGGGATGGGTGGGAGCATCTGAGGGGTATCCAAGGCCTGAGTGAATCTGGACAAGGGCCAAGCTGATGCCAGCCCTACAGCTGGTCACGGACCGGGTGGACGATTCCAGACCCGGCTGTATGTAATCCAGGTGAAAGGTGATGGGGCGAATCCCACCCACCCCACACCGTGCAGCAGGTCCTGAGAACCCAGCTGCCTGCCTGGGCCACCTCTGAAAGATACCACCAGTGCGAGTGGGGGTACCAGGTAAGGCACGCCCTTTCCCAGGGGCCTCCTTGGCCAGATCCAAACTGGACACCCAGAGAGCAGGTTCTCAGGGAGAATGTGACCACCAAATTCACCTGCCCAGGGGGCTGCCTCAGCCTCCCAGCCAACCAACCTGCCTCCCCTTCTGTCTACCAGCCAGAAAGAGCGCAGTGCCCAGCCATGTCTAATGCACCTCTCTGCCCCGACACTGAGACAAGTTGGACAGCCTCACAAACAGCTCTGTCTGCCCCCGGTCATGCCTAGTGCCACTTCCTCTTCCAGCTGTCCAGCAAAACAGCCTCCTCTCTGGGTTCCCCCAGCAGATCAAGCATCCTCTCCCTCCGGGCCTTTGCACGTGCTGTTCCCTCTGCTGAGAACACCACTCCCCCAACTCTCCACTTGCTTGGCATCATAAGATCTCAGCCTCAGGATGCCCCTCCTCGAGGAGGCCTTTGTGGCACACCCCATCCCGCATTTGGGTGGTGAGGCTCTCACACAACACCAGTTCCTTCCTGTAGGAGCCCTCAGCACCATGTATAATCTGATACTTCTGCTTGTTTACTGATTCTCTCTCCCTCTGTAGACTGTAAGCTCCATGAGGGCAGGCGGCCTGTCCATTTTGCTTGCCACTGTGTCCATGGCATATAGCAGGCATTCAGTAAGCATTTAAAGCATTTCGTGTACAAATGTTTGCAAGGCAGGAAAGCTAGAAGGATGCCTTAGCCTTCAGGCCCCATGGTTTCCACTCTACCTGGACAAGCCAAAGGCCCCTCCCACCTGCAGGGAGCTCTAGCCCAGGAGGCAGGGTACAAGGTACAGGTTCAGCTCAGTCGGGGGCTCTGGACAGTCTGCTCCCATCCAGAAAAGGAGGGCGTGTGGTTCGATGGTCCCCAGTGGCTCTTCTGGTTCTGACAAATGAACAGGCTCCAACCCCAGGCTGGAAGCCAATGGATGGACCTCAAGCATCCTGTTTTGGGGTAAACTGTGCCCCCTCATCTGTATGTTGAGGTCCCAGCCCCCAGTACCTTAGAATGTGACCTCCTTGAGAAAGAAGGTCACTGCAGATGTGATTAGTTGAGATGAGTTGATACTGGAGAGGGACAAGTCCCTAATCCAATGATTTGTATCCTCATAAAAAAGAAATCTGCACACAGACGCACAGCCAGGGAGAACAGCACTCAGAGCTGGAGTTCTGCTGCCACAGGTGAGGAACCACAAAGCAGCTGGGAGTGAGGCCCAGAGCAGATCCTTCCCTAGTGCCTTCTGAGGGCATGTGGCCCTTCCAAACATGGACCCCAGGCTTCCAGCCTCTAGGATATGCAGCTGTATGTATCTGCCATTTGTGGTCCTTGTCATGGCAGCCTCACCCCTCCCAACCCAGGTGCCCAAACTGGTGAGTCGAGCAGTGAGAGGGAATGGGCCAAAGGCCACCCAAGCTGGGAACCAGAGGGCCAGGGTGGCACAGGCCGGGCTCACAGTATTCCATGGGAGCTGGTCGGGAGTGGTCCCTCTAGAACTCCCCTCTGAGTCTCAGCAGATCTGAGCCCGTATTTACATTCACACGCATGCTCTGTCTAATGGTGAAAAGGGTTTTTTCCCTCCCTCTTCCCCCTTTAATTAAAAACTATAAATGCCTTATCAAAAGCTAATTAAAAATACCAACACAGCGCCAAGTGGCAAAAAAAAAAAAAAAAAAAATCAGCTCAGTACAAATATCCGTTTATAACCCTGTAACAGGCTGCGATGACGCAGCAACCACAGGCTGGCTGGCGGAAAAGAGGGGAGAAGAGATGCCGCTGGCCCTTTAGGCTCCTCTGCCCCTTCTAGGGGCCTGGGGGCCGCCTACACTCTCTGCTCAGCCCCCTTTATCAAACTGGGCTGAACAAGCCCAGGGCATGGGGACCACAGTACTCCACATGGCTGGGGACAAGATGCATCTGATGCCCAGTCAGCATCATCCCAGTAAAGCAAAGGAAATTCTCCAGGGGTGTGCGAGAATTAAGGTAACACTCATGCATTCAGCACTTCACTCCTTCCCTGGAGCACAGCAGCCCAAACACAGCTAGCCCTGCCTCCCTGCCCTCCTGACATCGTTACCTGTGCTAGGGATGGCTCAATAAAACAACCCAGATGGAAATGCTTGACTTCACTGAGCGCACCCTGGACCTGGCCCTATGTTTTGCCTTCATGGAGTCGTCTAACCCTCCAGGACCCATGAGTACTGGGCACTACCCTTATTCTCATGAAGAGCCCCAGGCACAACGAACAGAGGCCACTCAACAAGGGATACAGCTCTCATCTGGCAAAGCCTGAATGGGAAGCCAGGTCTCTCCGACCTGCGGGTACCTCTCTTACCCACTAGAGTCTCCTGCCAACAGGCTTCGCTGCCCACATATAGTGAGCACCCTATTCCAGCAGGGATTCACGTGTGAGAAACCATTTATCAAACCTCAGTGGGGCTCGGGGATCTCCAAATCCCCTTGGCATCGAGATTTCCCAATTCATACCTACCCAACCTCCTCTATTCTCTCTTGGTAGAGGATCTGGTATCCAGGTGGCATCCAGGACTGCCTCCCTCCCCCCATTCTCCCCAGTCCTCACCGCTGGTCCGAGGGTAGGCAGCGAGGGTCCCATCCTGCAGGCCAGCGAGCAGGTGGAAGGGGCTATGACGCAGGCAGAGCACGGGCTGCAGACCTGGACTCCTGCAGGTCGCCAGGCACTGGGTACCAGTGTCCACACTGCCATAAAGCAGGATGCTGCGGGGAGAGGTCAGAAAAGAGGTCGTGACACACTGAGCATTCTCATCTGCTCACTACCCCCATACCCCTCTAGTGAGAGGGGCCAGGGAGCTGCTCCCTCTCAGCCATGCCTTTCTGCTGTGTGGCCAGGCCATAGCTCCACCATGCAGGAGCTCACTTTTCTGTGGTTTTCTGGGATGGTACCCTCTGTGGCCTCTGTCATGAACAGGACTCAGGGAGGCTCCAGAGGCAACACAATAAAGGTCCTGAGAGAGCTATTTCAGGGTCACATGAACCTGAGTTTGAATCCAGACGTGCCACTTTCCAGTCTGACAGAACCTGGACTGCTAAGCCTCAGTTCTTTCTGTAAAATGGGGCAATGATCCTACTTTACCGCCATGAAAGGAACAAAGCACTGACACATGCTACACAGATGGACCTTGCAGGCATGATGCTGAGAGAAGCAGGCAGGAAAGGCCACAGAGCATCTGAGTCCATTTATATAAAACACACAGAGTGAGGCATTCACGTGAAACATGCATAGTGTGAGTTCATTCACATGAAATGTACATAATGTATATGAGTCATTCACATGAAATGTACATAGTGTATGAGTCACTCACATGAAACGTGCACAGTGTGAGTCCATTCACATAAAACATACATAGTGTGAGTTCATTCATATGAAATGTACATAGTAAACCATTCACATGAAATGTACATAGTGTATGAGTCACTCACATGAAACGTACATAGTGTGAGTCCATTCACATGAAATGTACATAGTGTGAGTTCGTTAATATGAAATGCACATAGTAAGTCACTCACATGAACGTACATAGTGTGAGTCCATTCACATGAAACATACATAGTGTGAGTTCCTTCATATGAAATGTACACAGTGAGTCATTCACATGAAATGTACATACCGTGTGAGTCACTTACATGAAACATACAGTGAGTCACTCATGTGAAACATACACAGTGTGAGTCCATTCACATGAAATGTACATAGTGAGTCATGTGTACATAGCACATGTCATTACATGAAACGTACATAGCGTGTGAAACATACATAGCATATCTATTCACATGACATGTACATAGAATGTGTCATTCACATGAAATGTATATAACGCCTGAGTCTATTCACATGAAATTTACATAGTGTATCAGTCTATTCACATGAAACATACATAGCATGTGAGTCTATTCACATGAAATCTGTAGAGTGGGTGAGTCTATTCACATGAAATGTACACAGTGGGTGAGTCATTCACATAAAATGTACATAACATGAGTCTATTCACATGAAATGTACATAGCACAAGTCCATTTACATGAAATGTACATAGAGTATCAGCCTATTTACATGAAACACATAGCATGTGAATCCATTTATACAGTGTCCTGAGGAGACAAATCCATAGAGACAGAAAGTAGATTAGTGGTTTCCAGAGTGGGGTGCAGGAGAATGGAGGGAGATTATTTAAGGAGCATGTGGTTTTTTGGAGGAGTAATAAGAATGTTCTGAAAGGCCCTTACTAGGTCTAGGCTCTGGCTGGGTACTTGGCTGTAGGCCAAGGTTACCATTGGCCTTGGTAACCTGAGCTTTTGCTCCTTGCTCCGTTTTCTTGTGTGGGAAAGGGGAGGGAAGACCTTGGCATTACAGAGGAGTGGCTATGAGGCTCACCGCCTGGCAGCACACAGTAGGTGCTCAGGAAACATGCTCTCACCTCGTCTCCTGCTCTCTAGGAGTGGGTGGAACGCACAGGGACACAGGGAGGACAGGACACGGCAGTGCCAGGCCTGGACTCTAAGGGGTGCAGCCCACCTCAGGTCTTCACTGATCCTCAATTTCACCTCCCAGTGCATGGAATGAACACTCCCTCTCCCTTTCTGCTACGGAAGGTGGTCTACCCATCCCTCACAGGCCACAGCTGGCCCTGGGCCTTCTGACTGCGAGTTGGTTTTGCTGACTCACAAAGCCCCAGACGTCTTACAGAGGGCAACCCCTCTGCCAGTAGTGACCTCTTGATCTAGAAACAACCTGGAACCCTCACCCTGCCTAGCAAGGGGAATGAGGGCCACAGACGGTGAACATTCAGTGACAGCTAAGTGAACTGATGTCCTCTTGTGGCTGTGTCTCAGCAGGCTCTCACAGCAGCCCTGCGTCAGGGGATTCTAGTCCCTACTTTATAGATGAGAAACTGAGGTTCAGAGAGGTTAAATGAATGCCAGGGACTCAGAGCAAGGAAGTGGGGAAGCCAAAATTCAAACCCAGTTCTGGCTGACAGCAGAGCCAGCATGCCCCTCCATGAGCCATGCTGCCTGGGAGGAGCCAGTCAACTGCACTGCAGGCAGCTCCCAACTCTTTGGCTCCCACATGGGCAGCTCTGGTGCCCACCTTCCTGGAGACCAGGGGCAAAAAATGTTGGTGGACAACAGGCAGATCCAGAAAGCTACAGGGACAGTCCCTAGCCACTGCCCAGCCCTGCACAGGCTGCCTTCACCCCTCCTCCCAGGCCCCTCACCTGCCATCCTGGAGCCCAAGGCAGATGGTTGGGTGCACTGTGGCCGAGGGGTCAGCAGCTGTCTGGCTCTCATCTCTGCTCTCTGCCTCCTCCTCCTCCGGCTCTGGGATGTACTCCATGCAGAGCACAGGGGATGCCAGTGGGAAGGACTTGACGGTGCGGGGCGAGGGCCGGTTCAGGGAGAAGATTTCCACCTGGCCCCCTGCGCCTTCCTGTCTGCCCCCAACCTGGGAGCAGAGACCCAGAGAGGCCATCAGGTGAGAACCACAGGAATGAGCAGAGGAGGAACCCCAGCACTGTCTTCCCAAGAACCCCATCCCTTGAGAGAAGCATCCCTTCTCCTGCCCACACACATCCTGCAGTCACAAAGGTCATTTATCCCCAGCTGCCATGGCAACAAATTAGCTTCAGGGCCCACAGGAAATAAGGTAAGGAGCTAAGGTGGACTAAATAGTCAGCTTTCTATTTCCTCCTCTGCAGGGTACATTTCAACCAATATAAAGTAAACATCTACTCCATCCCTTTAAGATGCCCTTCTCTGTGTTGATCATTGTTATACCTCTGTATCCAGCATATGATACATACTCAATATATTCTTGTTGGATGGATGGATAGATGAATGGATGGGTGGACAGATGATGGGCAGATGGATGTATAGATGCAGAGGTGAATGGATGGGTGGGTAGAGGGATGGATGGATTAAATATATATTCTTGTTGGATGGATAAACGGATAGGTGGGTGGATGCATAGATAGGTGGGTGGATAGATGGACGGATGATGGACGGCTGGATATACCACGGGCTAGAGCATGGGGAAACGATGAGAAACAAATCACTCTCAGAAGGGGAGCAGCAGTGAGAGGGCACAATTTGCAGCACAAGGAACATGGTGGAGGGTACCTCATTTGAATCAAGGGAGGCTTTGCCAGGAAGCCCAAGGATAGAAAGGTGGGCTGGAATCTCTGCATGAGTAGGGCACTAGCCAGCCCTGTCTCCTGACTCCAGGAGTGAAGATCCTGAGACCCAGGCCCTCTGCACAGTGCCCCCAGCCAGCCCTGCCTCCTTTGAGACCCAGGCCTTTTGCACAGCTCCCCTTCCACTTTCTTCTCTGCCCTGTCACCATTTGCAAAAGGCATCCTCTCTTATTTGCTCCCTGGTTTTCTGTTGCTACAAATGAGGTCGCACCTCCCAACTCCAAATACAGTGTCTGGCCCCAGAGATTCCCAGGAAGACCTTGCTGGATGAAGCTGCATGAGATGAGGCAGGCAGCTACTGTCCCCAGCGCCCCTCCCAGGTGCCACTCTCCCCACTCTTGTCCTGAGGCTGCAATGCCCAGCTGGGCAGAGGGGTGACTCACCCAGAGGTAGCCCTGTGGAAGGGAGGTGCTGACTGCTGAGAAGCCCAGCAGGGGACAGTTGACAGGACTGTGGACCAGGCCCCCAAGCTGCAGAGACAGAGATGGTGCATGCGGGGTTAATCCTCGAGGTGCCCAGATGCCAATATTTGGCAGATTCCTGGGCCCCATCCAACTCTCCCTGGATTAGAATCCCTGTGGGTGGAGGCCAGGAAAGCAACATGCTTCACAAGTGCCTGCTTCTCCAGGCAGTTCCTACCCGCTCACATTTGTTCTTCCACTCCTAGAGCCTCCTGGCTAGAAGAGGCCTGCATGAGACTCCATCAGCCCAGGGCCTCTGAACTGAGCAGCTTCCAGGTACGGTTTCCTGAAAGCCACTAACACCCACCCCTCCTCATTTTACAGACAGGGAAATGAGGGTCACAGAAGGCCAGTGACTACACTAGACCACAAGGGAGATGAGTGGCAGGGCTGGGCATCTTGTGTGGGCCACACACAGAAACCAGGGCTCAGCCTGTCGCCGCTATCACCAGTAAACATTCCGCTTGCTCCCCCGAATCAGCTGCCCCAGATCCCATGTTGGGTGGCCTCTCTCTGAGGCCTGTCTCCTGAGCTAGACCTGGCCAGTCCCTCTCTCTGGCCAGGACAGCAATTCTAGGAAATGGCCTGGCCCTCTCATGGGCCACACTGAAGGAGGAGGAGACAGAGTGGAGACAGATCTTGCCGGAGGGAGGATGCAGCCGGCCACTGGGCCCTTTTCCAGGCAGCTGCTGCCCTCTGCTGGTGCTGAAGACCACAGCCAGCCCCAGCCCCATTGTGACAATATTCTCACAAAATTTCTAACAGCCATGGGCAAGGGCCCTAAGAAGTCACCTCCTCCAGCCTCCTCATTTAGCAGATACCAACTTGAAGTTCAGAGGGGGCCGTGCCTGGCTCAAGGTCACACATGTTAGTGGCAGAGTCAGGGCTAGAATTCAAACCTTCAATGCCTGGTTCAGGGCTCTTTCTATTCTGGTTGAATTCTACCCCAGAAGCCCAGCTGCACACCAGAGGCCTCGGCACTCGGGGGCCCCAGCTCTGCCTACTGAAAAAGTGGGTCCTCGCATTCAGAACAGGGTCTTCGCTAAGCCTGGCCTCCGGACTCCCTGTCTTCTCTGCTTCCTGGTGGCTGCATCTAGCTGAAGGTGCACTCTCTGCTGGGCTGAAGCTCTCTCCGCTCCCTTGGTAGAGACGGGACCATGGCAGCCCGGGCTCAGCCATTTCCATGGCAACTCCAGTGGGCCCTGATGTCAGCTGAGTCAACAGAGCCAGGTCAAAGATGATAGAAAAAACGCAAATGGCTCCTTCACAGGCAAGGCCCTGGCTCTAAAAGTCTTGCCGGTGCCAGGAAGCTGGAAAGTCAAGGCACCCTATGAAGAAGTGCAGAGGGGAGGCTGTGAAGGGGAGCAGCTTTGGGGATAGCCAACCCAGCTTCAGCCCCGGCTCAGCAGCTACTCTCTGGATGGTACTGAACAAATCACGTCCTCACCCACAGAGCAGAGACCCTGACATCTCTCAGGATGGCCATGGGAACTGGAGAGGGAAGGTGTAAAGCCCCCAGCCCAGGGCCAGGTACCCAGTACCCTGCAGCTGCTAAGGCTTACCAAGGGCCTCCCATGGGATATTCTAGCACTTCACACACATTATCTCATTTCATCAGAGCAATGTGATGAGGGTAGGGCAATCACGGATGAGCAGGAGACAGGGTACGTGGCCAGCAAGCAGTTCTGGCTGAGGTCAGCGAAGGTCAACACAGAGCCAATGGGCTGGTGAGCCTTGGCCTATGGCCACAGATCCCCTCTGGGTCTGGGCTATACCCTTTAGGCCCCCAAGGTGCTCGAGTTTTAAAGCATCTCAAAGAGCAGGCAGCACTCTCATCCCCATCCCCAAGGCCCTGTCCCCGGGCAGGCTCTGAGACTGACCGCCAGGGGAATGGGTTTGCGCTGAGCCCTCCTTGCCCTCCTGCCCCCCCTGCAGGGACAGCATCTTCCCCTGGATGGAGCCAGGGGTCCAAGAAGAACTTTCAACACCCCAGTAGTCAGGCCTTCAAAAATGCCGCAGAATAGATTCCAGTGTCCTCTCCTTCCTGGGGACCAAGGTGTCCTCAGGTGTTTGCTTCCATTTCTTGAGCGCTGAACATACCCCATGCAACTGGCTAAACATGTGACCAGAACTGTAGCCTCTAATCCTCATGGTGACCCAGTCTGGGAGGTGCTGTGACCACCCCAGTTTAAGATAGCATGAGCTGAGGCAGGATTCCTGATGTCACACTGTTGGGATCAAATCCAAGGCAGGTGGCCCCTGCTGAGGCTCCTTCACCCTCCCAGCCAACTCCCTAGAGTCAGAAGGTCTTGGTGTGGCCCAGCATGGGCAGGGACCACTGTCAGCACAGACGAGACCTATTCCTGCCTCCTGCCCCAAGTCCTCTTATCCCTTAAAGGAAAGAACCCAACACACCCTCATCCACTGGTACAAGAGAACTAACCCTGTCCACACTGTGGCCAGCAACTTCCTCAGCCCAGCCCAAGCCCTTCCTAGACAAAAAGGATGGGCCACTGGTTGTCATGAGGCCAGGCCAGAGCTGGAAGCCCCCCTGCCCCAAAACCACCTGGAAACGTGGTGGGCTGGCAGGGGGCCTGGGCAGCAGTCCACACACTCACATCTGTTTCTGCAGTAATTGGACAGGGCCCTGGTACTCCGAGGCCCTAATTCATCAGGCTGCCCGCACAGAGCTGATGGGGCACATTTGTCGGAACTGGTGGTGCGGTTTGGTGCGGGCAGACTGGGACGGCGATTTGAGGCCTAGCAAGTGGGGCCATACAGGCTCAGCTCTGGCTTTTGGGGGCTCCACAGACCCTTTACCCACAGAGATCCACTCTCCCCCCTCCACTAGCCCTGGTGCTCCTCAGGAGACACTGAGCCAGAGCCAACAGGACTGAGGATGCTTCTGGCGACATGTTCCTGGGCCCCAAGAGCTCCCACTGAGGAGGTTTGCGAACCCTGGTTCCCCAGGTTCGAGGTGGCAGAAGCTCCCCACCTGGATGGGGGTTTCTTCTGGGGAGACCCTGGTGGCACTGGTCAATCTGTGACTTTACCACGGGGGTCTGATCTGTCAGGGCTTGGCCTACATCCTGTATTCTCAAGAGACACAAGGTCCTGGGAGAGACAGAAAAATCCAATGCCCACCATAAAAGCCACCCAGGGCCAGCCTTTTGCAAGGATGCGCTAAGGCCAAGCTGGCTGTAGGCACAGTGGGTCCTGACACTCCCTGCCTCCAGCCCAAGGCCCCGGGGCCCACAGGTAAGCCCCCATCTGGCATACTCTATCTGTCACCACTTCAGCCAGGCCCTACCCCAACACACCTCCATTGTGTCCCCATCTCCCATGCTCACTGCCTCCACCAGGGCTGGGACTAGGATGATGGACCAGGGCACCCAGCTTGGGTGCAAAATTTAAAAGGGCACCAAAAACTCAGTCACACACACACAAAATACAGTCAGGCAACTACAAAAAAAAAAAATCAATATTAATGCAAAAAATCCACAGTGAATAAGTATTTAAGACTTTAAATACAGATCACACTTCACCCTGCACTTGCACGACCTTGGCTCACTCACTTCACCCTAATCCCGGCCCTTTACGCCCCAAGAAGATGTTTGCTGGTGTGATCATTTGCAAGCACTGCATTAAAATAGTATTGATCTTGATTACTGAGATTTTTGACCTCTGCTGAAATTTTGTGCCCGAGGCGAGGGCACCTTACTCCAGTCACAGCCCTGGCCTTTGCCCACAGCAAGTCCTGCCACATCTCAGCAGGACCCTGAGCTAAGCTCTGGGCTGCTCCCTTGATAGCCACTCTTTTTTTTTTTTTTTTTTTTTCCTGAGACAGGGTAGGCTGGAGTGCAGTGGTACCATTTCGGCTCACTGCAACCTCCGCCTCCTGGGTTCAAGTAATTTTTCCACCTCAGGCTCTTCAGTAGCTGGGACTACAAGTTTGCACCACCACACCCAGTTAATTTTTGTGTTTTTGGTAGAGATGGAGTTTCACCATGTTGGCCAGGCTGGTCTCAAACTCCTGACCTCAAGTGATCCACCTGCCTTGGCCTCCCAAAATGCTGGGATTATAGGTATGAGCCACCCCACCCAGCTGATATCCTTTCTTTCTTTCTTACTTATTTATTTATTTTATTTACAGAATCTCACTCTGTTGCCTAGGCTGGAGTGCAGTGGTGCAATCACAGCTCACTGCAGCCTCAACCTCCTGGGCTCAAGCAATCCGCTCACCTCAGCCTCCCAAGTAGCTGGGACTACAGGCTCACACCACCACACCCAGCTAATTTTTGTATTTTTTTGGAGAGATTGGGATCTCACTATGTTGCCCAACCTGGTCTCGAACTCCTGGATTCAAGTGACCCTTCCGCCTCAGCCTCCCAAAGGGCTGGAATTACAGGCATGAGCCACCGCACTCGGGCCCGGTATCCATTCTTATCTAAAATTCGCACTCAAACACCAGCCAGAAGGATCCAAAAAATCCAAACTATAAATCAGATCATGCCAGTCTCCAGCTTGGAAGCATCTGTTTCCAAGGCTTTTCACTGCTCTGAGAACAAAATCCACACCTGACCCAGCCTGCGAGGCTGGCGTGGTCCAGCTCACCCACCAACTGACCTCAGGGCCTGCCCTCTCTCCTCCTGCCTCACCTGGCTTCCCCCACTGCTCCTGCTGCACCCTCTGTGTGGGTTTGTCTACTGAAACTATTGTTCCCATCCCTGGGCTGAATCCTTCTTGCTGTTCAATCTCAGTTTAAATGTTACCTCCTTCAAGAGGCCATCTCTGAACCCCAACTCTGTGGCCCCATGCATGTATCTACTGTAGGTCAAGACAGAGTCCAGTGGGCTGGTGAGTTTGGCCTAAGCAACCCTGGCCACAGACCCCCTGTGGCTCTGGGCAACACCCCTTAGGCCCCCAAGGTGTTTGAGTTTTAAAGCATCTCAGAGCAGGCCCTGATGTCTTTGCTACTCACCTCACTCTCTTCTATTTCCTTTAGTTTGCTGGGTTTTTGCCTCTCTCTCTCTCTGCTAGGATTCAAAGCTACGTAAGGGTTTGAACCTTGTATGTCTTGGTCACCATTGTATTCCCAGGATCTAGCACACAATAGGTGCTTAACAAATTACATGCAGAGTGGACAAGTGAACAAATGAACCCACATCTCAAGGGTTTGTTCTTTCAGCTGTTTAGATCCCCAATCTACAGCCCAGTCGGCACCTCTCTGGTGGCTCACCAGTCTGGGCCTGGGTGCCCAGCTGGTGCTCCCATCCCTGAAGCTGAGATGACCTCATCTCCCTGGGAAAGGGGAGGCAGGTGTTGCCCCAGACGGAGGGCGAGCTAGGACAGGGCGTGAGGGCTGGTAACCCGTGAGGGCCGAATGGCCTCGTGGTTAAGACCCTGGGGGTTGTGATCAGGCAGGCCAAGGTTCAAATTCTTACTAGCTGTGTCCTTTGAGGAAAATCATGGCACCTGCCTAAGCTGTAGTTTCCTTATCTGTGAAACAGATAGGGGAACATCTACTCATGAGGTTCTTATAGATATTAAGATAAGAGAATGGCAGGAAAGCAATGGGGGGACACAGCCGGTGTCCAACATGCATGAGGCCTGATGGCGCTGGAGCGTCCCATGACAAGGACAATCCCCGTGCCAAAGCCGGCTCCCGCCTGGTGGACCACAAAGCACACAACCCAGTGTCTGGCACAGCCACTTTGGCATGAACTGGAGCCATGCCATCAACAGATGAGATCATTGCTGTTTATTATCCCAAAATAAGGGAATTTGCCATGCACTTGACCCACAGTGGTCATTCACCCTGATTTTTTTGGTGGGAAAGCTGATTCCCAAAGCAACAAAAAGGTTTGACCAACCCTGTCAGTAAGAATTTAGAAGCCACAACTGGAACCTGAGCCTTCCCTGCTGTGGGTGCTCCCTGGAAACTCTGGTTCTCCCAGGCGAGGGGGAGCCGCAGCCACCTTCAAGGTCGGCTCAGCAAGATCCGCTCCACTCACCTGCAGGCTGAGTGCCCGGGAGGAGAAGGCAGGGGTGCAGCAGGCCAGGATCGGGCACCAGAACGGGGCTTTGCTCTTCTTGTCCTCATCTGGGCATAGCCAGCCTGGCTGGTTCTCCTCCCCTACAGCAAGAGGAAGGAGGTGGGTAGAGCTGGTCAGAATCCAAGGACCAACCGGGCCATGAGGAGCCCTACAAGCCCAAGGCAGCCACTGCCGGCCCCAGAAGCCTGGCCCCACCCAGTCACTCCCACCCAAGCCTGCTGGACTGAGATGAAATCCAGCCTCGGAAGAGATGCTGTGGCCAGGGTCTCGGGCAGGGAGTTGAGAAACTGAAGGTCCCGGCTTGACCTCCCTACTGCTGAACACCCCACAGCCTGCAGGAGCTGGGTGACTCCCTGTGCAAGTCACCCCAACTCTTTGAGCCTCGATTTCTTTGCCTAGAAAATAGGAATGCTAGAAATGCCTTCGTCCTGCAGTTGTTGTGAGGAGCAAATGAAATAATAGGTGTGAAAGGGTTTTTTAAAAAATATATAAAGATGCTGAACAGAGTCCAGGCCCCTGTCACCTTGAATTTCTGTTGCAGAGGAGGAGGCAGACCATGAACGAGCAGAGGACAAGAGGCCCTCACACTTGCCTGTGGTGGTGATGGGAACGCCAGAGAATCGCATTCCTGCTTCCTTCAAGACTACCCTGAAATTAGGAAGCCACCTGTCTCCAGTTTACCCAGCCCAGCGGTGCCTCAAAGCTCCCAGGGACCTGTTACAAGCACAGATGCCCACCCCAATCCCAGACCCAGAACTCACCATGGGAGACCACCATGCTAAAGAGCATCTGCTAAACCTCGTTCTCTGTGGAGGCTCCTTTCCATGGCTCAGGGCTCTGCTCATGTGCCCCCTCCTCCGAGACCTCCTCCCTGACCACCCTGACTACAGTGGCCCCCTTCTCTCAGGAATCACTCTAAAGACCCCATCTTACTTTTCTCACAGCCTGCATGATGATCTAAGATCATCTTGCCTATCAACTTGTCTGTAGTCCATTCCCATAAGTCTCTAATCTCAAAGCTGTAGTCAGTGGGGGTCTGCACTGTCTCAGCCACCACTGTCCCCTGACACCTGGCACACTGCAAGGTACATAATAAGTGCTCAGAAAACATCGCTGGAAAGAATGAATGAAAGGAGGGAGGGAAGGAGGGAGGGAGGGAGGAAGGAATAAACCACCGTCTGTCCTGAAGAATTCTCCTTGTGAGGGAGCCTCTCCTTCCTTCCACTCCCTAAGAGGACTCCCTTCCAGGAAGCCACAGCACGGGCGGGCATGATGAAGACACCACCTACTATGCGCCCACACATCAGGCACCACACTGAGTGCCACTGCCTCTGCCCCGGCTTAGTCTTCACAATCGCTGAGCACAGTCAGGATCGTTATTTTCACTCTACAAAGGATGATACTGGCACTCAGGGATTAAGTGACATGGCCAGGCCACAGCCACAGCTGGGGGCAGCACCCAGATCCAGGCCTGGGTCTGACACCCAAGTCTGAGTTCTCTGCACTAATCTAGGCAGCCTTCAGCAACCCCGCCCACCTATGCTCCATCGCAACAGCCTATAGGCACAGATGCTGGAGTAGCTCCGCCACAGGCAGCCCGAGGAAGAGGCCACTTAATGCAGTGACCCCAAGCTGAGGAGCACCCAGGGCATCGGAGCCACAAGGGCAGGTCACAGACGGAACCACTGTGATGCAGCCTCCCCACCCCACGCACTCCTCCATGACAGACAGGAAGCCGGGACCTACGGCCAGCCTGCCCCTGCCCTAGGAGGGGCCAGCTCAGCCTGAGAGTGCCCATCGGCCACACAGGGGCCATATGACACTACAGCGTCCTCACTCAGCAGCCAAGCCCATCCTGCTAAAACTTACACCTGACCTCACCGTTCCGCTGCTCGGAAACGTCAATGGAGCCCCAGTCTACGCAGAATAAGATCCTAACTCTTCTGGAAGAGCTGCAAAGGCCCCTTCCCTCCCCAGCCTCCTCCCTGCACCACCGGTTCCGCTGTGCTGGACTGTGCTCAGCAACCTCACCAGGATGGGCCCAGAGGTTCCCTCTGCCCGGAACACTGTCCCTCAGCTCCCCAGGGCTGGCTCTGTGACTCCTCTCCTTCTCAGAGGCCTGCACTGCCCATGTCCCCTGCCCTGGCCTCCACCACCTGCCGTCTCAGCCCATCGGAGGGCATTGCGCCTCTCACAGCTACTCCCTGCTCCTCCACCACATGGCTCTTCTTTGTTCATGTGTGTGCACATGTGCATGTGTGTGCACGTGGAAGTAGGGGCTTCCCCACTCTGCTGCTGTTCTGTGAAGGCCAAAACCTTCCACCCTATTTCCTTCTACACCTCACCCGACCCACTCACACAGGGCTGGACCCACCACAGACCATCGATACATCTGGGAGCAGGAACAAAAAGTCTCTTCTCAGAGCGTCATATTCCAGGTTTGTCAGATGTACCCATGACATGAACGTTCATCTGACTCGCTTTCATCAAAGAGATCCTGCTAGGTCAGAGAGACGGGCTGGACACGGGTGAGGAAAGGCTACCCTGAGGGTAGCACCCATGCCGTCACTGCCCGGGAGAGGTGGCATCTGAATGCTGGCACAGCAAGAAGAGCTAGAATGAGGGGACAGGTGAGGATGCTATTTGAGAAGAGAAAGACATTCGCAAATGTCAGGCACGACAACATGAAGGCGCTTGCACCCAGCGGCTCACACCCTCTGGCCTGAGTCACTGAGCAGCGAACTCATTCTTGAAGTGGGCCCAGAGGCATCCTCCATGTCAGGCCCTCTACCCTGCTGGGCCCTGGGAACAGAGTCATGAAGTCCTGATCCCTGCCAGCAGGGAGGAAAGGCCGACATGAGAGACCCTCAAGGAAAGGGCATGACCGCACAGGGCATGCATTGCCGTAACAGATCCCTCTATGGGCCCCGCACCTCGAAGTTTCCACGCTACCTCTGCATCTTCACAGCCCTCACCAGAGGAAGGTACTTCCATCCGTACTCCACGCTGGCCAGCAGAGGAAAGGGGAAAGCAGGGGAAGGGCCCAGGCGCCAAGGAACGAACCCACCAGGGGGCCTTGCGACGCAGCTCGCCCCAGGGCAGCACGGCGCTCCTAGCCTCTCCCAGTGTGCCAGGGCTCACCACGCTGCCTCTTGGACAAGCCCCTGGGCAGCAAATAAAGATAGGCCTGATTTGAGAGCTTGTCCCTGCTCTCAAGGAAGGTACAGTCAAGCAGACCCTCACCTCTACCAGACAAGAGCTCTGGTCTGGACCCCCAGTTCGACAGCCTGCAGGAGCTGGGCAGACAGCATCTCCCTGCCCCAGCCCCGTCGCCAGGGCACCAAAGCTCATCTCCTCTCTTTCCTCCCTAAACACCCACAGCCCATCAAGTCCTGGCAATTTACTCGTATGTATTTTTTTAATGATCTGACCTTCTCCTTCCAGATGGTGCCTTCCCTGCCTGCGGCTGGGGATGTTATAAGAAAATGGAGTCACTGCTCCCCATCTGCCACTGCCATTGTTCCCGTCACAAAACCAGAGCGGCGAAGACCAAATTAGAAGGCTGCTGTCACTGAAAATTGAAAGCCTTCTTGGGATAAGCGACATTAAGAACTGGCACCGACGGCAGAGCCGTGATTTCCAGTTGACGCTAAGTGGGGGCTTATTTAGCACCCGGCTCTGTTTGCCAGCACCCCCTGGGCCTGAGAGCCCTTGTGAGACACAGGGAGCAGCCCCAGGGTTGCAGCTCCCCCAGTGCCCTCAGAACAATCCCCTCTGGTCTGCTAGATGGGCCCGGGCAGATCACACCTCAGCCTCCAACTCGCTGTGTGACACTGAGCCAGGTACTTACCCTCTCTGAGCCTGCGGCCTCAACTAGAAAATAGGGGAAGGAACTCCATCCATCTGGAGTTGTGAGCACTGGAAATAACATACATCATGCCTAGCAGACACCAAGCACTCAGGAAGTGAAGCAGCAGTCATGATGGTCACTGTCCTTGCTGCTCATGGTCTAACGGTTGCTATCACTGAGGGCAGTTGAGCCCACCATGGGCCCTGCCCTGCTTCTCCAGCCCAACCTGCCTCCCAGACTCCTACTGGGCTCAGTTCCAGCATCATGCCTTTACTGCTCTCCTTGAGCTTCCCAAACTTAAGGCCACCTTCCAGATGCTGCTCACACCTCCCCAGTACCACGGAGATGCTGCTGGCCATAGTCACAGATGTCAGGCTGGGCCAGACCTCAGCAGGCATCTCGTCCAACCACCTGTCCCCTGCAGAGAGGGCCATGGTGTCCAGGGAGGCCAGGCAAGTGGCACGGTCTCCCAGCTGGGGTACAGGGTCAGGCTCCAAGGCCATGACCTCGCCCCCACTCCTGGAGAGCAGACCCATCCCTCCCAGCTGCAGGGCGTGGGCAGATACCACCACCAGCCTGTGGGACAGGGGCGAGGGTCTAGGACGTGGCGGGGTCTAGAACACACTTTGCACACTGCCAGGGCTGTGCTCAGGATCTAGCAGCTGGAGTCATGAATGCAAGGAATACTGGTGTCAGTGTGATGACACGGGCCGGAAAACTAAACCAAATGAGAGGCGGCAAGGGAGGGCGCAGCCCTGCATTCAGGCTTGCTGCCTTGGGCCACCCGGAGATATCCCTGTGAGTCTGGCATTAGCCCATGGCCTGCCAGGCCCATGTCCCCTTGAGAGGTGGGAATGAGGAGCGCCATGGGTGGAAGGAGCTCCACCCAGGGAGGGTAAGGGGCAGCAATGCAGCTTTGTGAGCAGAGCAGGTGGTGAGGGGAAGGGTACAGGAAGGGAACTCGGGGAGCCCCCTACCTCACCTCTTCCTTCTCTGGGACCCTCCGTCTATAACCTGTTTTGGAGCTTTTACTAACAAGAACCTAGCTGGTAGAAAGAGGCCCTGTACTGAATCGTGTGCGACCTCAGAAAGGCCATTCCTCATCTAAGATGCAGATACCCCTGTCCTAGGAGCCTCTCCCACAGCTCCTGTGTGCCAAGGGCTGGCTATCTAGGCATCTCCCATGCACTGTCTCCCCACCTTTTCATGACAGCCCCATGCAGGAGGCACTGGCATTTTCCCCATTTTCTGGTGGAAAATCCAAGGCGTCTCAGAGTTAGTTTGCTGTGATGACAGAGCTGGTCAGTGGCAGAGGTTGGAATGGAACCCACGTTGTCTGGCTCCATTTCCCATGGCGCCAAGGACCACCGCTTACTGCCTCTCAAACCTCCCCGTGTGCCTAAGAATGCCACAGGGCCCTTGGAGACCTAGTCCAAGTTACAAATGGGAAAACTAGGTCTCGGGATGGAGCCTGCCCTTCCCAGGACCACAAGGCATGGTGCTGGCCATGCTGCAGTTTGAACTGGGTCCCCAGATTCCCCAGGGCTCCCTGCCCCCTCCAAAGGGCAGAGCTGGTCCCCTCTCCCAGATCCCAGGTCCCCCACTGCATCCCTCTCCTTCCTCTGTCTTCAGATTATGATCCTGACACTGTAGTCAGGGAAGGAGGAAGATACAGAAAATAAAATAAAGGAATAACAACCTTCGTGAATAAATGTTTTTAACATATTCTATTTCTAACAGGCTCATATTATCATCCCCTCCCAAACCAGGCACTGCAGATTAAAAAATATATATATTGGCAAAATAAAAGAAACAAATTATTCAAGCCCCAGGGGAACCCAGGCATTCAAATAAGATTTCAAATGACTCTCCTTCCATTAAAACTTTTGCTGCAGTGAAGCTGTGTGGAGATAAGGCAGCCCGGCGTCTTCACAGGCTGCTGAGAGCTGGGGCTGCTCGAATTGCGATCTTCCGTCTCTCCAGCACCAAGCCCCACCCAGCAAGGCATGTGCAGTTCAAACAGGAGATTCATCTGCCTTTAAAGCAGGTGTACATGTGGGGCTTGGGGGACGCTTCCCAGGATGGAAGTCGTGCACGGGGTGGGGAGGGGAGCGCATGGCCCAAGTTGAGGGGAAGCCACGTTAGCCTTTCTGAGGGCCAGAATTCGCAAAGTCTTCTGCCAGGGACAGGGCAATTTCTGCTTAAAACCCTGGCTACACCCTCTAAAGGCCTCCTAGTCACCTAGAAACATCCAGCTGACACCAGAGCAATATCAGCGCTGGATCCAAGAAGGGATGGGCTGAGTCAAAGCCTCTGGTCCAGGCTCCTCCGCAGGCAACCCCTCCCCATTCCCACCTCCACCTCCACACCTGCCCCTCCCATGCCCTCTCCACTCAGCAGCCAGAGTGACCCACTTAAATGAGAATTGGATTGGGACATTATCCAGAACAAATCCCATACGGCTCTCCCCGGCTTCCCAGAAAACCTGCCCCCAACGCACCCACCCACCTACCTCTCTCCCCTTCATCCTCCAGGGCTGGCCACTCTGGGCTTCCTTTTGTTTCTGCCTCGGGGCCTCTGCACTTGTTGCCCCCATGCCTGGATCACTCTGCCCAGATCTTTGCGAAGCTCCTGAGGTTCCCGCCTCAGGGGTCCCCCAGCTGGCAGCCCCAGCCTAGCTCTGTACCCTGCACAGCACACCCCTCCTTGCAGATCTGTTCCCCATTTAATGTCCACCTGCCCCTCATAAATCTAAGTTCCTTGAGAGCAGGCATCACTGTTTTTGTCATTATTCTTTCCCCCACGCCCAAAATTATGTAGAGTCTCAATAAATAGTTTTTTTAGTTAATGAAAACCATCAGTGACAAAGGTCCTAATTTCTTTTTTTTTTTTTTGAGACAGAGTCTCACTGTATGACTCGGGCTAGAGCAATCTCAGCCCACTGCAACCTCCGCCTCCTGGGTTCAAGCAATTCTCCTGCCTCAACCTCCCGAGTAGCTGGGACTACAGACATGCACCACAACACCTGGCTAATTTTTTTGTATTTTTAGTAGAGACAGGGTTTTGCCATGAAACCAGGTGGTCTTGAACTCCTGGTCTTGAACGCCTAACCTCAGGTGATCCACCCACCTCAGCCTCCCAAAGTGCTGGGATTACAGGCGTGAGCCTCCATACCGGGCCAAAGGTCCTGACTTCTTTCCAGAAATGTTTTAAAACCTATTGGAAATGTATGCTTCTCTATAAAAAGATTACCTCAGAAACAAAAACAAAAAAAATGTCTTGCTATTGGCTGGCATCGGCAAATGGGAACTGCAGTGCAGAGAGGGAATAACACCTTGGCCTGGAGGAGACGTAGGCCTCTATCAACTCAAAACATGGACAAGTAAATTAATTATGACTTAATGAATGCAGTCTGCAGACCACCTCTCGCCAAGCCAAGGAAGCAGAATGAACGGGATGGAGACTGGGCTTTGGAGGCAGCCCAGATCTGCCTCTTCCTGCTGTGTGACCTCAGGCAAGTCCCTGCACTCTCTGGGCCTCCGAATCCTCAATGGAAAAAGAGATTCTCAACAGACTGACTCTTAGGACTACTGTGAATGTGAAATGAAAAAGATGCACATAAAATGCTCAGAAAAGTGCACGTAAATATCCATGCATAACTGTTATTTGTATCATGGGGTGCACAGAAGAAAAATATAGTAAAGAGGTCTTTGGTCTTTGAGAATCAGTGTAGTCCCACTTGCACCCTTTTTCTGGGTAACAGTTTTATTGAGATATAATTCAGTTACCATAAAATGCACACTTTTAAAGTGCACACATTTAGACTCGGCGTGGTGGCTCACACCTGTAATCCCAGCACTTTGGGAGGCCAAGGAGGGCGGATCACAAGGTCAGGAGATCAAGACCATCCTGGCCAACACGGTGAAACTCTATCTCTACTAAAAATACAAAAAAAATAGCAGAGCATTGTGGCAGGTGCCTGTAGTCCCAGCTACTCAGGAGGCTGAGGCAGAAGAATTGGTTGAACCCTGGAGGCGGAGGTTGCAGTGAGCTGAGATCATGCCATTGCACTCCAGCCTGGGCAACAGACTAAGATTCCGTCTCAAAAAAAAAAAAAAAAAAAAAAGCACATGTCACTGATTTTTGGTGTAGTCACAGAGTTGAGCAACCACCACCATCTAATTTTAGAATGTCTTCGTCACCCCCTCAAAGAACCCCTTAGCAGTCATTCACCATTCCCCTCTCCTCCCAGGTCCCTGGCAACCACTAATTTACTTTCTGTTGAGTTCCATCAATTCCTAGCTGGGGAAACTGAGGCTCGGAGAGGGGAAGTGACTTGTCCAGGGTCACAAAGCAGAGCCTCAGGACTCAGGGCTCTGGCTCCAGCTGTTTCTCTACCATACCGCCTCCCTCCCACTCGGGAGCCTCCCTGCCCCCACTGAACACCCACCCTGTACCCTCACACACCCCAAACCTCCCCTCTCCTCACCCTTACCCCCCGAGGCACTCTGCCTGGAGCTATACTCACGGAGTCCAATTTTGGCCAAATGTAACCTGTTGACCCAGGAAATCTTGCTCAGGGGGTTGGGGGTGATGAAAACCACCATGAAGCTGATGGGGCGGCCAGACCTGCGGTGAGAGGGGGAGGGTGGACACGTGAGTGCCCTCACAAGGGCCAGGCTCCCCCAGGTGTCATATAGTACTTCCTCCAACCCACATACCCTGGAGATGAGGGAGGTCTGGTCACAGCATCCCCAAAATGTGGCCAAAGAGGCCAGTGGCTTAGCAAAGCCTCGGTTCCCTGGGGGAGGAATCCCTCCACCCACAATGGCCCCTGAGGGAGGTACCTGGCCAGAGTGGCCGAGCCATGCTCCCCAGCCTGGCTCCAGGAGCCTCTGGCTTTGTGCCCGGCAGAGCCTCTGCAGCCTGCAACTCCACCTGGTCAGTGGTCAGCTGTCCACAGGTCTTAGACACCTTACGTGTCTGACCACCTGCCTCTGGAGGGAGGAATGGGTCTCACTTGGGTCTGTTCCCAGAACCTGGCATGGGGCAGTTGCTCATTAAATGTTTGCTGAGTGGACACATGAATGAATGAATGAAGAAATGAATGAATGGGGTTGGACACCAGCTTGGGGCAGCAGCCAGAGGTTGCTGTGGTCACCACACACTGTCCTCTCAGCGTGGAACAGTGGGGGCCTTCCCAGCCCTTTGGGGGGTGGGCAGGGCAGTGTCACAAGCCTCTAGGGTGCACATGGAGAATGGGAGGCAGAGAGAACAGAGACGAGAGAAGGGAGATGGGCAGACCACTTGGCAGGGAGGCGGCAGATTCAAAGCTGCTGAGCCTCACCCTCGAGCCCGTGGTCCTGCCTCAAACGATAGTGCTCCAACCTTCTCTTCCTTACAGCCACTGTGCTTGTGATACTCTGTCTCCACTTTCACTCCACCCTGGAGGCCAAAACCTGGGCACTGAGCCCACTCACTGCACTGGCCTGGGCTTCAGAGTCAGACCCCATCAGGACCCAGCTCTGCCTCTCACGATGTGGCCTTCAGCCTCTCCTGCAACTCCCTGAGCCTCACCTTCCTCATCTGTAAAATGGAAATAAGAAGATCCACCTTACAAAGCCTCGGGAGGACCAGAAAGATATATTTCCCTGTCTGCGCCAGGGCGAGCAGCTACGCCTATCATCAATTCCACAAACCTCAGTTCGTGTCTACTGTGCACCGCTCCTGTGGTGAGCATTTTGGGAGCAAGGTGGTGCTGGGGGGAGGCTGGATCCAGAAACAGGAAACTCAGGGCCTGGCCTGGGAGCCTAAATAGACTGATGTGACTGAAAAGGACACAGTGCAAACGGAACTCACCAGTGGCAGAGTGTCTGAGTATCCTAACAGTGGGCTGGGCTTATCCAGTATATGAACAGGGTGCTCATTCATTCATTCATTCATTCCACAATATTTTCATGAGCACCTACTACATGCCAGGTGCTATCCCAGACATGGCCCACAACACCTATGTATCCACTCCTATCACGGCATCCTGAAAAGAGGGCTGCAGGTGCCCTCTCCAGATCCCCTGCTCTGCTGGTAGCCCAGCAGAGGCAGCAACCCTCCCTCCAAGACCCCTTTCTCTCACTTGTCGGGTTTCCCAGGGAGCAGGAGCCTGAGGCGGCACTTGTTAGCCGAATGGATCTCTTCCTCCTTCACCCGCATCAGCCTCTGCAGGGCCAGGCACCAGTCTTGAGCCACAGTCATGTTCAGGTTCTAGGGTTCAGGAGGCCAATGAGGTCACCACACAGCCCATTGGCTCACCAGAAGCCACACCAGAGCCTATAGGAATCACAGCACCCAGAGGAAGAGGAGCAGAAGGAGTCCTGGAGCCTCAGTGGGACGGCACATTTAGCCTCAGGCAGGGCCAACTCGCCATGCTCCAGGCTTCCCAGCCCTGGGCTCAGATGCCACCTGGCAGCCCTTCTCTGAGAGGGATGCACCGTCCCAGCCAGCTTCCCCTCCAGACTGGGCAGAGGCCCAGGAAGGGGCCACATGACAGAATGGCCACTGTGCAGAGAACAAAGGCCCCGCAGCCAGGCTCCGCTCAACCCGAATCAGAGAGTGCACCCAAACCAGGGGCTGCACACAAGATTTCCAGGCAGGGACACATAGCTTCAGCAGTGACGGTTGCCTATGGGAGCTCAGAAGCCAGGAGCACATCTGGGGCGTGGGCCAGGATAGGAACCTCTCCCTACTCGGCTTCTGAATCCAAGCACTGCCCACAGCAGGGAGCTCGGGCCAACAAGACCAGTTCAGGCCACGTACCTGGTAGGTGCCATGCAGTGTGCTGATGAGAAGCGTGATTTGCTCCACCACGGCCAGGTCCTTCTGCAGGTCCTGAAGCTCCTGGAAGAGGCGCGGGGGGCCGAGGTACACTTTATCTGGGCAGAGAAGAGATCAACTCAGGCTCAGGTAGAGAAGGTGCTAACAAGAAGCCAAGTATCTGTTCACAACAGAAAAGAACCAGAAAGTGACATTATCTAGTTCCTGCCCTGATGGAGCTCCCAGACTAGCTGGGAAGCCAGATCCTTTCACAGATGAAGTCTAACGCCTGAGATCCAGGCCACAGTCAGTCTGTACAAAGGGCTATATGGGACCACAAGACCAAAAGCAAGGTGTGCCTGGGAGAGATGAGGAGCCTTTCTGGGACTGGAAGTGAGTGTGGTGAGCACTGCCAAGAGAGAAACACAAGAGTATGTGCAAAGGCACTGTGGCTTGAGGCAGCCATGACCAGCAAGTTGTTCAAAGGCATCCTGAGAGCCCATCGTGTGCCAGGTTCCATGCTAGACTGGAGAGACAGCAGCACACAAGACAGACAGGGTCCCCACTCTTCCGGAGCTTATGACCTGGGCAGGGCGAGTGGTGGAGAAGCGCAGTCAGTTAACGTGGCGGGTGGTAGGAGGTGGTGGGGAGAAAGAGATCAGGGTGGTGGGACAGTGATGGGGTGAGGGGGCCCAGATCCCTGGTGATGATACAAATGGAGTAAGGGTGCGATGGGGGTAGGTGGCAGCAGCTAGAGATAGAGTACGAGGGTCCAGGAGGACCAGATGGGGAAGGCCTTGAATGCTGGGCTAGGCATTTGGACTGTACTCTCTAGGCCACGGTTTTGCATGCTGAGGTCTTATGAAACCCCAGGGGAGTGGCAGAAAAGCCTTATTTGGGGTCGTTTAGATAATTATGTGAAAAACAGGTGTGCATCCTGAGTCACCCGCATGGAGTGAGCTTAAAGCCATGCTCTGCTGCCTGGTATCAAGGCTTCCATGGACTATGGCCCCTGAAAGGTCACTGGGTAACAAGCAAAGAGCATGGCAAGCTTGGGATGTGGACGACACACTCGCATCAGAGAGGGGCTCTGCAGTGGCCCAGACTCGGGGAACCCATGGGAAATGCAGATCCCCGCAGGGCACCCTGTGGCACAGGCATGAAAACATGGAGGAACCTCTCCACCAGGGCCTGTGCCATGCCCACATCTCCAGCAAATTGCTTTCATCAAAACAACACCATCCATCACATGACATTAATGCTGTTAATTTGCATGCTATGATTTTGTAGCTTTCTTTTTATTCAATTTGTGATTCAGTTTTGGTTTTATGGTTCAAGGGCCATAAGCAGAAGGAGCTGATTACAGGGAGTTGTGCATTTGTATAGATTTGAATAACAACATAATGAAGGGTTCCACAGAGCTTCTCTTGCCCCTGTAGAAGGGGTCTTGCAGCTCATGACTCTGCTTTGAGGAATGCCGCTACAGATACCTCATTGTCACTGAAGGAGGGATCTCCTAAGCATCCCTGGAATGCATGAAGGATGCTAGACTGCACGGCTAGCAGAAGGGAAGCCTGTGCCCCAAGCAGTGGCGAGGGAGAGTGCCGTCAAGCCAGGGCAGAAGGTGCCTCTGAGGAAGGCTCGTGGGGCGGAGGACTCTTCCTACCCCGCAGAGCTGTGGAAAGAGACAGCATCTTGAAGTGGGCACAGCTGCCCCAGCCCAGCACCCAGACAGCAAGAGTAGGTGGTGTAATCGCTCCCTCAGAATTTCCAGAATTGTGGGCGGCCCATGAGGCAACCTCCTCGGTCAGATGGTGGACAGAGAGGGAAGTGAAACCGCGGCGCCTTTCTCACTCTTGGAAGATGCCCCTGGGCACAGGGCTCCTTTCTGCTAGCCCTGCAATTTAGCAACCTTCATGCATTCAAGGAACAGTTATTAATGCCCACCATGCTCTGGGCTCTCCGGACAGGTGGGCAGCCGGGCTGAGGGGAGAGACGTCAACCAATCAATCACCCATAAAGGGGAAAATGCACCGGCGGTCTTGAGAGCATGGAGGAGCCACCGGGCCCAGCAGGAGGGCATAAGAAAAGGCTGCTCTAAGGAAGTGCCATTTGAGCCAAGTGCAGATGAGACAAAAACAAGATGGCAGGAGAGTACTTGGCAAAAGGCACAGGCTGGAGAGGACATGGTGGGAAGCAGCATGGCCCATCTAGGAACCCAGAGGGCCAGCGTGGCCACAGCAGAGAGAAGGGGCAGAGGGAGGTGAGGTAGAGGCAGGTGGGGCACCCCCAGGACCGGCAATGGGAAGCCACCAGGGCAGGGATGATGTGCACTGATCCGACCTGAGTTTTGAAGAATGAGCCCTGGAGATGGGCAGAGGACAGACAGGAAGGGGCACAGGTAGGAGGAGGGAGGCAGGGCAGCCAGGCAGCTGCCACAGCAGGACAGTGTGTGTAGTGGCCAACATGGAGGCAGAGCAAAGTGTGTGGGTTGGGAGACACACCTGCACACACCCAGGTGAGGTCTTGGCTCTGCATTTTGGTCCAGGGTGGGGCTGCAAAACCAGGACAAGCTTCCCAGCCAAGCCCAACAGCCTGTTTAGGGGTCCCTGAGACGGGGCCAAGCCTGGGTAGGAGCAGCCCAGGCAGTGGCTAGTGAGGGCGAGGGTGACGCATGCAGGGCACAGGGAGGGGGTACTCACTGTGGGCCTGCCCTGAGGTGGGGGCCTTCTTGGCGCCTGCGTGCTGGATGAGCACGTTGTCCTTGTCATAGGTGCCACCGTCCTGGCCCACCTCCACCACCTGCACCTGAGGCAGTGCCGTGTTCCACTTCACCACATACTTGGGCCCCAGGGGCACCAGGCTGCTGATCTCCAGCTGGCCCCTGTCGGAACAGAGAGGACGAGGCACTGGAGAGTCTGCAGCCACCCCACCCAGGGCTGGCCCAGGGCGCTGCTCCTCCACACTAGCTCAGCCAGGCTTCACGCAGCCCCAGCACAAGACCTCAGACCAAAACCAAGCCAGGCAGAGCAGGGAGCCCTTGCCAGGGCAGAAGCACCAGGCGCCCAGGCCCCAGCACCATATCCAGAATCACATGCCCCCAGAGACCCAGAGCCCTGGAGTCCCCTGAACCACATACCTGTGGTTGGCAGGCCTGGGAAAAAAGACAAGAAGGAAAGGGAGGTTGTTATTACAATGGAGTGGCTAATCTGGGGCCTGCGACCCCACTGGGGGCTGGCCATGGGGCTGGGCATCAGGAATGGAAGGAGGGACAGTCTCCTGTGGGGAGTGAGGGCATCAGAGGCCAGGTGTGGACAGAGGCAGGACTTCCTTCATCTCTGAGTCTCACAACAGCCCTGCTGGGAAGCTTGGATGAATCCCAGACAAGGACACTGATGCTCAGCTAGGTGAAGTGACTCAGCCCAAATCACCCAAACTGATTCCCCAAAGCTGGGCTACTAGCACCCCACTTTGTACTTTGTGCTAGAACAATATGAAGGCAGAAAGGGTCTTCCTCATACTACTGGCACGGCATAGTGCCCAGGACATAAATGGGACTGAAGAATTACCAACCTTGAATGAGTGAGTGAGTGAATGAATGAATGGGTCAGCCACAGGTACTGCCCACACCCATCTGTGACAGAGGCTTCCTTGCCTAAGTCCCCAACCAGGCCCTGAGCTCCTGGAGGCTGGGACTGGGTCTTGTTCAGAGCTGTGAACTGGTGCAGAGCCAGGGCACAGTGAGTGAGCACACAGGTTCCCAAACAGCCCTGCTTGTCCCCTTCCAGGACTTGTGATTGGTAACCATGGAAAATCCCCACACCTACTCTGTGGCCAAACACAGGAAGGCCCAAGCCAACTGTGTACAGAATCTAGATCAGGCTCCGCAGGCACTGATTCAGCTGCGAGCGGGGAGAGCTATGCTGAGATTCACATTCAACTGAGGTTGAATTGTGATTGTTCCCCTCCTGGATCTCAGTGATTGTGGCCATACTATTGCTCCTGTGATGCTTTTTAAAGTGATGTCGAGGCCAGGCACCGTGGCTCAGGCCTGTAATCCCAGCACTTTGGAAGGCCAAGGTGGGCAGATCACCTGAGGTCAGGAGTTCGAGACCAGCCTGGCCAACACAGTGAAGCCCCATCTCTACTAAAAATACATATATATGTCTAATTGTATTTTTATAATACAAAAAATATATATATACTTTTTTTATTTTTATATATATCTAGGTGTGGTGGCGGATGCTTGTAATCCTAGCTACTCAGGAGGCTAAGGCAGGAGAATCGCTTGAACCTGGGAGGCGGAGGCTGCAGTCAGCTGGAGGCTGCAGTGAGCTGAAATCACACCACTGCACTCCAGCCTGGGACACAAAGCAAGACTCAGGCTCAAAAATAAAAATAAAATAAAGTAGTGTCAAATATTAAGAGCAGAGATTCTTTTAAGAGGCTGGCTACAAAGGCCACAGCTGAAGCTCTCAGGGAGCAATTGATAGAGGGGCCCAGTCACTGACACTTGTAGGACCAAGCAGGGGTTGTGAGGGGGTGAGCTGGGCCGAGCTGGGCAGGGAAGCTGGAGAACAGCAGGGCCTGGGCCCCCGCACCAGGCCCCCGCATGGCCTCGGGCAGCCAGACCCCAGAATATTGGATCTCTCATATGTCTCAGCCGCGGTGTGGACTCCCTGTGTGAGCAAAACATAAGATGCCCAGAAGCCTAATGCAACTGATGGGCCACATCTTTAGGTTCTGGCCTCAAGCCTCGCCCTCTCTCCACACCAGGGCTCCAGCTCTCAGGCACAGCCCAGCAGCCAGGCTCTGGGCATTTCCACAACCCCTGGCCCAGAGCCGGAAAACCAGGCTCCTGTGGGCCGATGGTGATGCTCTGGTCTGTGGGGGAAAGGCAAAGACTCCCCTTGAGAAATTCTGCGATCAGTCTGGAGCAAAACAGATTTGAGTTAAAGCCGCAGGGAGCCGAGGTGGACACAAGAAAGAACGTCTTGAATTTCGCTGTGGCCAAAACCACCATGTAGTCACCAACTGCAGAGTTCCAGAACAGACAACCCTGTACCATCGATAACTGTGTGACCAAGGCTGAGTGCCATCCCCAGTGACTGCTCTAGGTACTTCCCAGCATTGGGGACCAGTGGCATGACAGGCCGAGAGGAATGGGGGAGGAATACTGGAGGCCTAAGCCAAGCTTACATGGGGTCCGACCACAGAGAGGCCGGCCGACAGGCTGGAGTAGGACGGGGTGGAGTCTCAGGGAGGGGTGATTGCCCCCTCCAACCCAGCCCCGGCCCAGGCCCGCTTACTTGAAGTTGATGTTGGCGCAGACAAGCATGTCATTGAGCAGGAAGACCCGACGCTCCTTGGACTTGATCAGCTGCCCACGGTCACCGTACACGGTCTCTGTCAACGTCTCACACAGAAGCAGCTGCCGCTGGCCCGAGGTCAACAGCTGGGGGAGGGGCAGGGAAGGTCAGCATCAGCATCATGGCCCAGTGGCTTTAATGTGCCAGAGACCCAGAACTCTCCCCTGGTGCAGAAAGGGAGACTGAGGCTGGGAGAGGTGAAGAAGGAGGTGGAGCCACTCCCTCCATCCCAGGGTAACAAGATGCACTGAGGGGTAAGGCCAGAGGACCACACGTTGGGGTCTCCTCTCTGGAGAGGCCTTGGGGAGCCTGAGCATTCACCAGTACCCATGTGGGCCCAGCAGCCAGCACCCTCTTCTCAGGTGAGCTAGCCATTGCCAGCCCCTGTCTGTGTGTCCTGCCTGATTGCCACTGTCAAGGACACAGCTCTGGAGTTACAGAAGTGGCTATGCCCCCATTCCTACTCCTGCTGTGAAGCCCTCAGGGAGCTCACTTCACATGTCCAAGCCTCAGTTTACTTAGCTACCAAGTGGGAGCAGTCACCTCTACTGCTCAGATCACACGAGGTAATGAACAGGTGACTAGGTCTGGCTATGCCATTCTCAGGGTCCAGTGCAAAATGAAAGTTCATTCCCAAAACCCATGACTCTTGTCCAAAAGTGACTATGAATTCCAAGATGACCACAGCAGAACAGGCAAGCAAGCATGGGGCCCTTCTGGGCACCGGCCACGTGTGATGGCACCGGCCATGTGTGATGGCACAGGTCATGGCTGAGAGGCCGGCTCTGCATGTGTGCTCCACAGACAGCCACTATCTGTGATAGTCTTCACGGTGGAACAGGCATGGCCTTGTCCAGGGGAAGCCAGCCCGCACCCTGGCCTGCTGAAAGCCTTGGCCCATCTCACCTCTTAGATGGCCTCTGAAGACAAAGACTCTCACACCCCAGGCATCCGAGCCGGCACCCAAGCAGGCATTTGCCAACCTCAGGCTGGATGTCAAGACCCCGCTACTAGTGTCAGGGCCACCAACCCATCCAAGGACCCCCTGGGAAAACATCTTTTTTACTGACGGGTTTTCTTCTGTGGGGAAAGGAGGATATTCAGCAAAATTCCTTCCCAAAACCCGTGACTGTGACGACAACCATTACTCTCCCTTTCCTTCCCCATCCTGTCTGGGAAAAGGACAGATCACCCTGAGTCTTCCCAGAGAGAAAAAGACAGATCAGCCCAAGTCTCCTCAGACAGAAAAGGACAGATCGGCCGGGCACGGTGGCTCAAGCCTGTAATCCCAGCACTTTGGGAGGCCGAGGCAGGTGGATCACGAGGTCGAGAGATCGAGACCATGATGAAACCCCGTCTCTACTAAAAAATATAAAAATTAGCTGGGCGTGGTGGCACGCGCCTCTGGTCCCAGCTACTTGGGAGGCTGAGGTAGGAGAATTGCTTGAACCCAGGAAGTGGAGGTTGCAGTGAGCCAAGATTGCGCCACTGCACTCCAGCCTGGTGTCTGAACAGATCACCCCGAGTCTCCCCAGAGAGAAAAGCACAGATCACCCTGAGTCTCCCCAGAGAGAAAAGGATAGATCACCCTGAGTCTCCCCAGAGAGAAAAGGATAGATCACTCTGAGTCTCCCCAGAGAGAAAAAGACAGATCACCCCATCTCCCCAGGACAGAAAAGAACAAATCACCCTGAGGCTCCCCAGAGAGAAAAGGACAGATCACCCTGAGCCTCCCGGGGACAGAAAAAGACAGATCACCCCCAGCCTCCCTGGGAGAGAATGCTGTTGTTCTCCAAAGCATCATCTCCTTCAAGTCAGCACACAACTAAAAGTCCCAGTGGGACCAAGTGCCCAGTGTGTACCAGGCACTGAGGATGGTACTTAATATTTCCCATCTCACTGAATCAGCTCAGCAGTCTTCTAGGCTATCCCAATTTCCCAGGTGAGGAAACCGAGATTCTAGAGGTAAAGTGACTTGCTAAGACCCGCCCGCTGTTGAATGTCAGACGCCAAAGGACAAAGCCAGGCCACATTGACCATTCCCTGCATTGAGCAGCCAGCGCACGGAGTGACAGGAGCCAGGGGAGGCCCCGCCACTCCTAACATGCAGGAGGACTCAGGGTCCCCCCACAGCTGCTAAGGCCAGGCTCCCCCTCACTATTTCCACAAACAAACCAAATGTCAACTCAAGAGAACACTACTTGGACTCTGAAGACAGCAGGGCCCCCCGCCAAGGGCTGCCAAGTGTGCCATGACCCAAAACTTGAAAGAAGAAAGTCCCCTGGGCTGTGGCAGTCAGCCCCTGCCCCTTTGGCAGATGAAAAGCAAGAAAAAGAAAAAAGAAAACCAGGATATTGCACAAATGTCCCTCTGGAGGCTCCTGCGTAGGCTATTTTGAAACAGCTGGCATGGTTCCGTTTCGGGCTTCACCCGGTTTCGTTTCCGCTTCTCCCCGGGTGATGGTGATAGGGACATCACTGAACATGTCTCAGAATGGGCCAGGACTGTCCAGGGAAGGCCCTGGGGGTGGGGGGAAGCCCAGGGTGCGCCCCCACCACACTCTTTCTAACATCCCACACGGCCCAACCCACCCACATTCTGCAGATAGAGAAACTGAAGCTTAGAGCCCCTGGTCCTTTGCTTGACATCAAACAGGTCTCCCTGACCTCCAGCCAGGGCCCACCTCACAGAGCAGGAGAGGGCAGAACGGTTCTTCCCAGGGCAACCATTACAGAATTTATTTCCTCCTCCCAAGAGGCCTCTCCCCACTGCAGCTGCACAGGTGTATGAGGCAAAGGAAGAGAAAGCTTCTTGGTCACCAAAAAGGGAACTGAAGGTGAGGAGACAAGGAGAAGTTTCTTGAGTACAAAGGCCAGCATGGGTGGCCATGACGGGGATGGGTGAAGGCTTTTTCTCTGGAGATATTCCAAACGCAAGGCTTGTGTGGGGGATGGCTGAGTTAGTCCTGCCAGGAAGTGGGGTGGAGAGCGACCCTGCCCTCATGTCCAACCTGAGCCACGTGGATGGGGACATCCCCAGGAGGGGGCTCCATCCCCTGCTCATCTCGTCTTCCCCAGCACAATCCTCCTGGAGCAGGTAAAGTGAACCCAGATGCCTTCAGGGCCAGCAGGTAACATCAGTGGGAGAGGAGGGTGGGGACCAAGGGGAAGCAGGCAGCTGCCACCCAGGGGGCCTGCGCCACATGGGAAGGTGAGCCAGGGAGCCAGCTCTTCCTACCCTTCCAGGAGACCCACAAGTCTGAACGTTATATGATATCTCCCAATTTTTAAATGTTGGCAACTATTGCCAAGTTCTTAAAAGTACTGTGTGGGCCAGGTATAGTGGCTCATGCCTATAATCCCAACACTTTGGGAGGCTGAGGCAGGAGGATCACTTGATCCCAGGAGTTTGAGAGTAGCCTGGGCAACACAGTGAGATCCCATCTCTCCAAAAAGAAAAACTTTTTTTTAATTAGCTGGGTATGGTAGCTCATGCTTGTAGTCCCAGCTACTCGAGAGGCTGAGGCAGGAGGCTCGCTGGAGCCCAGGCGCTCAAGGCTGCAGTGAGCTGTTATTGAACCACTGTACTCCAGCCTGGGCAACAGCATGAGATTCTGTCTCCAAATAATTAATAATTAAGTAAATACAATTTTAAAATAAAATAAAATGTGTGTGCCACAACGCACACCTGCAACTTGAATTTGGCCTGAAGAGGGAGAGTCCTAAGATGTGGGATGCCTGAAGCTTGGCACTACAGGGGACCCTGGGAAGGGGGCCTTGTCCCTGCGCCACTTCACAGGCAGTGGGTGGAGAGTCGAGATGCTGATGCCGGCTAGACCGTAAAACGCAGCGCACGTGGAAAGGGGCCACGGTTCCTCTATGCACTCCTTCCTGGACTCTTAGAAAGATCCTCCCCAGGCTGCTGAAACCTCCCTCCCATGAACTGCCGGCCACCGGCCTTTCTTCTGCTTCTAGGACCCCAAAGAGCCAAGAGGCTCCCAGTCTATTCCCCGTAAGGTGTGAACTTCTCCCTATGACCTTGCCCAGCATCCCTTCTCCAAAGAACAGTCCTGCAACGTGCCCAGGGCAGGGTCACCCCAGCCTGAACCATCCCAGCCATCCCCCACCCTCCAGCGGGTGAGCAGGGGGGCCGGGTGCAGGACCTCCCAGAGACCCCAGCACAGCTCCAGGCAGCTCATGTCGTGTGCCGAGAGGGAAGAAGAGGGACTCTAGTGACCGACAGGTGGCTCTGCAAGCTGACCTGATGCTTTAAAAACAGACTCCCCTATGGACTCATTTGCTAGTCTTTTTATTTTTTCTCCCCCTTTGGAGACAGTCTCACTCTGTCACCCAGGCTGGAGTCCAGTGGCACGATCTCAGCTCACTGCAACCTCTGCCTCCCAAGTTCAAGGGATTCTCCTGCCTCAGCCTCCTGAATAACTGGGACTATAGGCCCGTGCCACCACGCCTGGCTAATTTTTGTATTTTTAGTAGAGACAGGGTTTCACCATGTTGACCAGGCTGGTCTCGAACTCCTGACCTCAGGTGATCCACCCACCTTGGCCTCCCAAAGTGCTGGGATTATAGGTGTGAGCCACCGCACCTGGCCCAATCTTTTTTTTTTTTTTTTTTTCACTAGCATGCTCCTAAGCTGCAACCCTAAAATGGGGCATGGACTTTTCATCTTTCTTCTTGTGTTAAGGGCGGTCAGGAAGCTGCTTTGCCGGCTCCCTCATTCACTGCAGCAGCCCTAGGACTCAGGTGCTATGAAGTGCTCCTCGTTTCAAAGGGAGCAAGTGAGGTTCAGAGAGGTTGGTTGATTCCCTCAAGGCCACACAGCAAGCATCTGTGGCAAAATCTGGATTTAAACCCAGATCCTGACTCTCCAGCCCCTGCTCATTTAACTAGGCTATCATTTCTGGAGTCTTTACAGAAATCACGCTGACGCGCAAAGTGAACTTTTATCCTAAAATAACATGAATAGGAACGAACGTGGGGGTCCCAGTGAGGATCCAATTCTCAAGGTCATGTCTGTGGGCCTGGAAGAACGAGGCCTCCCCTCCCTTGGAGAACACTGCCACCTAGTGAGTGGCACGGGGCAGGGGCACCTGCAGGTGAGGGCAGGCAGGTGAGGGAAGGCCCGGCTCACCTTGTTGAGGCTGCTGCGGTCACTGACGCTCTTGGTCAGCTGCTGGATCTCGGCCACCTGGTCAGCCAGCCGTTTCTGCTCGTTCAGCTTCTCGGCCAGCGTCTCCAGCTCCGTGAGGGCCAGCTGGAGTGACAGCCTGTCAGGGTGGCCCCTGGGGGTGTTCTTCAGCATGTCCTGCCAGACCAGAACCAAAACTGAGTGGTCCACCCATGACTGACTCTCCCCTGGCCTGGGGCAAAGCCTCCCTCTCCTGTAGGCACCCCCCCACCCCACCTACACACACACTGGGTCTGCAAAGGGCCCAGCCTGAGCCCAGGACAGATGGCACCAGACACAGAACAAGACCTCAAGAAACAGCTAATGAATGAAAAAGAAAAAGAAAAGCAGGGATCTTTCTGAGAATAGACCCAAATGAACTGAAAGCAGGATCTCACACAGGTATCTGTCCACCATGTGCACAGCAGCATTTGCCAAAGTTGCCAAAATGTGGAGGCAAATCTGTCCATTGACAGACAAATAAATGGGTAATCAAAACGTGGTCTCCACACACAGCGGAGTATTATTCAGCCTTAAAAAGGAAGGAAATTCAGACACGCTAGGACATGGATGAATCTCGAGGACCTTATGCTAAGGAAAACAAGCCAGTTATGAAAAGAAAAACATTGTATGATTCCACGTGTATGTGTTCTCCTAGAGCAGTCAAAGTCACAGAGACAGAGGGTGGAACGGTGGTTGCCAGAGGCAGCAGGAGGAGAATCAGGAGCTGTTAAATGGGCACAGAGTTTCCATTTGAGATGATGAAAAAGTTCTGGGATGGGTGGTGGGGATGGTTGCAGAACAATGTGAACGCTCTGAGCTGCATACTTAGAAATGGTTATGATGGCAAATAAATAAATGTGTGCATCAATCCCTGATCAATTGATAAAATGGTATGGATATGTTAAGAGCCCACTGCCACAGCCCAGCAGCACTAAGGGGAGAGAGAAAAATGCCACTGGGCCCCTCAGCCTGGTAGCCACCCTCTCGGCTCCCTGATGAGGGCCAGCCCTTGCCCAAGGTCCCTTGGCGGTTGGGACAGTGTCCCAAGCTCTCCAGGGCACTGTGTGGGGCTAATGTCCCTTAGGCATCCCCTGTTCTGAAGCTGGAGTGTGAACTGGACAAGCTCAGCATGGTTACTGAGCATCTCCTCCATGCCAGGTGCCCTGCGAGTCCTGGGATGCCCTGTGCCTTCACTCCCTTCCTGCAACCCAGGCTCAGGCCACCAGCAGTCCCTCATGTTCCGCACAGAGGGACATGCAAACTGAGCTATCGATTATGACCAGTTTCACTCTAGAAGTGGAGAAAGATGAGGCTTGAGTCCCACAGCAGGTGGGGTGGGCTATGCATCATGGGCAAGGGCCCAGACCTCCTGCCTCCCACCCCAGGAGTTCCTCCCAGCCCACAGGCAAACCCTGTGGGTCGGGGCTGCTGGAATCCCGAGCGGTACCTGAAGCAGGAGGATGAACTGTGGGAACCTCTGGATGGGCTTGACCATCAGTCCGTAGAGGGTGACACGGTCTGGGCTGCACACCTGCCGTCGCTGGTGGACACAAGGTTCCATCATTTGCTGACCCCCTGCCGAGACTCTGGGCCCAGTGCCCCAGAGTCCAGACACTGTCTGCATCCTGGGCTCCTCTCCCCAGGTCCCAAGACCCTGGGCTTGCAAGAAGAGAGAGCTGAGGGAGGTCCCCGGTTCCACAGCCAGGGATCCCTCCCACCACCAGGGCCACTGCATGGCCACGAACCTTCAGGAGACTAAAGCAGTCACTTTAAAGTCTCTGAACTAAAGGTATAACTGGGAAACTCGACAATTTATTCAAGACGTCAGACTTCCAGAAGTGGCCAAGGCAGCCATTCCCTTCACTTAAACTAAACGCAGACAGGCCTGGGCTCAAGTAAGGGGTGGGGCACTGGGGGACCTCCTGTCTATCTCTTGCATCCGTCCCCCACTCCATCCACACACCTGTTACATGGTCCTGGCCCCCATATGCTGCAATCTCACAGTTTCTCCGCTTGCCTCCACTTCCATCTGCCCCAGCTCAAAATCCTTCAATGGCTCCCCGGTGCCTGAAATATTACATCCTAGGCCCTGGGCCTGGAGGTCTAGAACCATTCAAACTGAACTCAGCTGCCTCTCAGTGTGCACACCCAGGCCCTCTCTCCTGGGACTCCCCAGCAGGAATCAGTGCTCCCAGAATCTAACCAGACCTACCCACCTCTCTCCTCCTGCTAACGTTGCACCTGAAATAGCCTCTCCTCTGTCTTTACCTGGCACAATCTCACCATCCCCCGCCAGGGTCCCAAAGCTAGAGCCAAAATGCTCCTTCCATCCTGAGCAATCTCCCTGCCCACCCCTACTAGGCATAGGACCACTGTGGAGGCCCACCTTGAGGAACTCGAGGAAGGCAGGCTTGGTGAGGCAGGCCTTCTTGATGATGGACATGGCGCTGGTGAAGTTGTTCACGTAGTCACTGTACACATCTAGCACCATGGACTTGGAGAACTGAAACGAGGCAGGTGTGGGCCAGGGAGGGCTGCCTCAGTGCAGGGAGCGGAGGGGCAGCTCACACTCACCCCACACTCCCTTGGGACCTCTAGCTATGCTGCTGGCACAGCCTGGATGACCTAAACAAGCCTGTGAGGTGTGCAAATCCAACACCCCCACTGGGGTGAGGACACAGGGCTCAGAGAGGTAAAGAGGCTGGCCTGAGGTCACAGGTGGGACAGGGTGGTGCCACAGGAGAGCCCAGGGGGCCTTTGCCTCCCAGGTCCCCTTCCCCAGTGCAACCCAAGCCCACAGGTGTAGGGAGGAGAAAGGCAGGTGAGGGAGGGTGGGGGGAGGAGAAAGGCAGGTGAGACAGGGTGGGGGAGGAGAAGGGCAGATGAGGGAGGATG